TTTAATCAATTAATAAATAAAACTTTTAATTTTTAATGTTTTATAACACCATTGGACTAGTATTTTCAAAGAAACTCTTAACTATTCAAAAAGCCATCAAATAACCAAAAAAATATTATAATATGCTTAAGGATTCCAATGGTGAAATACACCATTGGACATGCTCTTACTAGGACTTTTGAATTACAATATTTCGGTCGGCAGACAATTCTTTTTTTGGGTTCAAATCAGCAAAACATAACAGTACAAACATAGTCTACAATACCTATACGATTGCCATAGTTCTATTTCTATTTGTTCGTCGTCACGTTGTGAACCAATATGCTAGTTGATTAAATTTGCTTTGGTTACAAACTATTTTATAACCAACCTAATTTGGTTCTATAACTTGATGGCGTATTACTCTATTATTCATATATAGGAAATTTTAGGTTATAGACAGTTTCATCTAGTACACATACTAGGCGATTTGTAGTTTCGTACTTTCGAATCTTTAATAGTCCATCTCATGTGAATTCTTGAGAAGCTGGTGTTTGTTAGATTGGCCGCCAACAATGTAAATGCGTGATACCTATTTATTTGGATTCTTTTATTTGTTTCTTCTGAAGAGAAGTTTATTAAAAAGTTGTATACGATAAACCTAATCCATTTAACCACATTTTCCTCACCAGATTTAAGTTTTACCCAAAAGGAGCTACTAGCAGGCATACCAATTCTTATTCCAAAAATGGGTAAAGCTTCAACAACTCATACAATGGAGTAACATTCTTAGGGGTACAATTTCCCATATGTTTCAGCAGCATGCATGTGATTCTGACTTTTCTTAACTCTAGTGTTGTCTTTATTCATCTCGGAGTGGGTTTGGAGGATGAAAATTCATCGGAAAATGTGCATAGGAGCATTGGATCACACATCTTGCTATGTTAGTTCTTCTTCCTTACCTTTTTTTTTTCAGACGACACTGTTAACTTTTGCAGCTTCCAAATTTTAATACTTGTCTATGCTAGTTTGTTTATTTTTAAAAGAAAACTCTGAACTAACTATAAGATGACACGATCAAACTTTTATTTTGATGGCAAATAAATAAACTTCAATACACATTAGCCCTGTTCGGACGGAAGACGCAGCGTCAGCTATGGCGTCAACACGGAAATCAACAGGGACAACGGCAATCAGCGGCAAAACGAAACAGGGGTGAGAGAGAAAAGAGCCGCTAGCGTTAAAAAGTCCACCGCGCGTTCTTAAAGGATGACGCTATTACTTTCCGGCGTCGACAAGTTGGTTAAATCTGAGGCTGCGTCTTCCGTCCTTTTTTAACGTTGGGACTGAATAAGTTCAATTCAAAGCTTTAATTTTATGGTTGACGCTGGTTTCCGCGTTTGCTCGCCGAACAGGGCTATTACCGATTGATTTTAAAGTTTCGGTATGCATTAACGACTATGATGCATTGTTTGTTGGGAACTAACTACTCCCTCTGTTTTAATATAAGTGTCACTCTACAGCTATACACACGGATTAAGGAAACAATTAATTTTACATATTTCATATATAAAAACACAATTACCCACACACCTAACCATATTTTAACCAATAGAAAAACAAATTACATAATAAAATTAATAAATTTTGCATTGAAAATCGAAAACGACAGTTATTTTGTAACACAAAAAATTCTCTACAACGACACTTAATATAAAACGGAGGGAGTATTAAACAAGGTGGAATGGCTCCGACCAAGAGTGGGAAAGTTGACAAGTTGGTACACATGACTAACTATGACCAAGAGTGGACAAGTTAGGTACACTCTTGTTTAAAACTTTAATCCATACAGTTTTAAACAGAGTTTTAAACTTTAATGTAATAACATCGATGATTGATTCTTCTATAAAGTAATTCCAGCTTGCAAGATGTAACGTAACATGCTAGACTGTAATCCAACACTTTGTTTGCGTTTACGTAGAAACAAAAACTGAAAAAAAAACAAAAGCTTCCTGACTTCTAACTTCCCCTTTGTCTGTTTTTAAATGTTTGATGATTATTAAGGGAGAGAAAGGAGAGCCGTACAGAAAGGTTTGAGCCATCAAACAGCTTTCTTATTTTTGTGTGTTTAATACAAAACTGAAAACATGAAGAGAAATATCACAACACGATAATAAGATTACACCAAACGACAAGGTCCTTATAGTAGTGCATGCAGTGTTACATAAGAAAGTAATCTCAAGAGAAGCTAAAATGATTTCTTTTCGTAAGAAACCAGTCCATGAACTCCACCTTCAATCTGTGCTGCACCGGTACGAGCCTAATTCACAACCATAAAAACGCAAACACTAACATCAAAAATGGCGAAACTACGCAAGTTCAAGAGGCTTTTGTCAAAGGATAAGAAATATAAGCGTACCTCTAGTCTAAGAACCTTTTGTCTCAATAGCTCGTGAGCGGATTGCAAAGAGGAAGCACCAAGGTCTTGGAAACCTTGCTTTACGGCATGCATTGTGTAAGGTATGAACTTCAACACCGAGCCTTTATCCGCCACTGCTCCCACAACTCCTTGTGCAATCTTGAGCTTCGCGGTGTCTCCTAAATATCTTTGGTCGCTTCCTTTTGTCATCGCTTCTAATGAACCCATTCCTCTGTACTTTTTCACCCTCCTACCGTTCTGAAATTAATACAAAACAGACCAAGAAAAGCAGAATGTTTTAGGAAATATCATTGAAAGTTGGTTAGAATCAATATTCAAAAGAAGGAAGTAGTGAGCAATTACTCGATATTCATAAGATCCAGGAGCCTCAGTACTTCCAGCTAAGAAGCTTCCCATCATCACAGTTGATGCTCCAAGGACTAGAGCCTTCACAATATGACCTGAGTTCGAGATACCACCGTCTGCTATAACAGGTACACCGTGCTGAGCAGCTAGCGTCGAGACTTTGTACACAGCTGTAGCCTAAGATAGTAGCAATCACATAAGCTCATAAAATCAAATTAGAACTGTAAGAGTTAAAAAAATGAAAGTTTTTTTTTTTCATTTACCTGTCCACGTCCAACAGCACAAACCTCTTGTGTAGTGCATATAGACCCAGACCCCATACCAACTCTCAGCCCATCAACTCCAGCTTTGATCAAATTCTCCGCCTGGTACATAGTCACCACATTCCCACCAACCACATCCAACTCCGGATACAAATTCTTCACATATTTAATCATCTCAATCTGGTAAATAGAGTTCCCTTGCGAACTATCCAACACCACAACATTAGCCCCAGCTTTCACCAAATGCTCCAACCTCTCCTTATCCGACTCCCTTGTCCCTATGGCTGCACCAACCATCCACTTATTGTCTGCACCAACAGTTCCTGTCCCTAACTTAGGGTATCCTTTAACCCTCTCCACATCGTCTTTTGTCACTACATTCACAGTCTCACCATCCTTCTCCAGAACCACAAACCCTTTCTTCTTATCTTCCAAAACCGCATCGATCTTGTCGAGATCAATATCCCACGGAACATAGTAGTCTCTGCTCTCACAGCTCCGCATGTAATCGTATATCTTCATCTCCTTTTGTTCATCTTTCATAGTGGACCATTCCGATTTTGAGACATAACCCAACAAACTCGGTGTCAATGTCCCTGCCCATTCAGACAACAGCAACAACAAAAGTCCATTTAGTATTCACTAGACCCTACTTCACAAACATTATTACTGCTTTGAATCATTACAAAAAAAAAAAAAAAAAAAAACAGTAGTACCACTAAGACAATCATAATCATTGTGTAGGCTCATTCACTAGACCTTACTCTACAGACAATATTACAGCTTTGAATCATTACAAAACTGTTGAGAGAAACAAACAGCTTTGAATCATTACAAAACTGTTGAGAGAAACAAAACAAAAACAAAAACAAAAAAAAAGAAAAGAAAAACAGTAGTACCACTAAGACAATCATAATCCTTGTGTAGGCTTATTCACTAGACCTTACTTCACAGACATTATTAAAGCTTTGAATCATTACAAAAAACTGTTGAGGGAAACAAACAGCTTTGAATCATTACAAAACTGTTGAGAGAAACAAAACAAAAAGAAAAAAAGAAAAAAGAAAAACAGTAGTACCACTAAGACAATCATAATAATTATTTAAGCTTTAAGCATATATAAAGTAGATAACTTTACCTGTCTGAGAGACAAAAGCAAAAGAAGAAGGACCAAAGTCATCAACCGAACTAATCAAATGGTCAGGACACTTAAAAACAGCGTCAGACGCAATCGGAACGCGTAGAGATTTAGCGTGGCGGATAACGGAAGCTTGAGTAGCGATGTCGCAGTTATAATGAACGATTCCGATACCTCCGAGCGCGGCCATAGCAGCAGCCATGTGTGACTCGGAGACAGTGTCCATAGGGGAAGCGACGCAGGGGATGGAGAGAGGGACGCGCTTGCTGAGGCGCGTGGATAAGGAGACGGCGTCTGTTGAGAAGTCGATGTAGTGAGGGAGGAATATAACGTCGTCGTAGGTGTAGGAGTATCCCTGTGCGAAGAGCTTTTCGGCTGAGAATCCATCTTCGAATAGTCCCGACGACATCGTTAGCTACAGTGACGGCGTCGTTGCCGAGAGAGGAGTGAGATGTGTGAACAGAGGGGATAGAGCTAGGGTTTAGTGAGTGTGGTGGGGTTGGTGAAAAAGATTAGGAGCGAAATAAAGATAAACCGGAACTATTAAAATATTCTAAACCGGAATCAAATTGAATTTTGTTTGTGAACCGGTTGATTTTTCTTATTTACGGTTTATTTTTTTTGAATAATAAATATATGGGCCTTGTTGGGCCCTGGATTAAAGATTTATGTTTCGAGTCGGATAACGAGTATCAGATAGCCCATTATACAGGGGTATAATTGTAACTAGACGAAGCTATAATTCAAAATTCGAAGGAGCGGCGTCACTCACTGTCTCTCTCTCTCGTTGAGTCTCAGGGAAGGAATAAGCGGAAGATCTGTAGATTTAAGGACAATGGCGTTCGCGAAGGTAACTTTTTCTTGAAATTTTGAAGTTTCGTCAAGATTTTCGTTAAGAAAAACGAGTTAGGGTTGTTTTAAGTTCATCGAGGGAGATGAGTTTGAGATCGAGGGAGATGAGTTTGAGATCGAGGGACTGTTCTTGTTTTCGTTAAGTTTGAGATAATCATCGTTCTTGTTATTCTAATCGCGATTAGGGTTCTAAATCTATTGATTTTGCCTCTTAAGTGATTCAATTTTGAGAGAATTCGGATGAATGCATAGCTTTTGAGTTCTTACTTTCAGTTACTATTGATTTTTGTATGTTTGTAGGCACCAAGACTAGGTAAAGATGATACACTTGGAAATCGAGGTAAGTGCCTGGTGAATTATGTTCAGTCCTTACAACAAATGGTTCAGTTCTAAGAATATATATATATATATATATATATATATATATATATATATATAAACAGCATGGACTAGGAGTTTCAAAATCTATGCCGATAATATGAAGGCTGATCCAGCTTGTAAAGTGTAAGTTCATAATCATCTCTTGTGGTACTATTTGTTCATTTTTTTTTCAATCTGATTAATTATGTTACTGTTTATGCAGAGGTGTCGCACACAACAAGACTCGTATTCCTTTAAGGTTTGTTAAAAAAACAATTATGTCTCTTACTGGTGCATATTTGTCTTAGAACATTGAAGATTAGACTTTACAAAGTTTAGGTAATTAATCTTCTGGCTTTACATTGTTTAGGAGAAAATCTGTGACAATTAGCAGTGGAGGAACTGCTAACACAAACAATATGAAGGTTTCTCCCTTTCCCTTTTTCCAGAGTTCAAAGGATTGTAGGATCTTATGCAATTATTTAACATGAAAGTACATTTTTGTTGTTATTGAATTAGAAGGGAACTTCAAGAATCACGGGCCAAAACAAAAGCAGTAATGAAAATTCTGGTAAGCTTTTAGCGGAGAGTTATCATTACATTTCTGGGTTTGTATTTTTAAGGTTAAACTTTGACACTGTCTCTTTTCCAGAGAAATATACTAAGGTCACAAGAAAAGCACTGGCTGATTTGAGTAATCTTGGTGGGAACACTTTAAGGCCAGCGCTTCCTGGCAGCAGTACCATGTAGGTTTTCTTAACTTTAAGTCTTTAAGGGTTTCTTTTCGTTCTTTCTCGTGGATCACAATGACATTTTCCCGTTGTTTTCTTAATCAAACTGATTGTTTAGGAGCATATCTTTCTTCTGTTCTAAAGTCATCGTATTGAACATGACAATGCAGGAAATGGAAGGGTGTAAAATGTGCAAATCCGCAAAGGTATGCAGTAATCGATAGCTGCTGCATAAACATCACACAAATACAAGAGCGTTAAATCTCTACATTGGGATTAGTAGCTCTCTGCATTAGGCATATTTTTCTGAGAATGGATGCCCTTTTGTTAATGAATCGTCCTCTTCCATATTCTTTCATCCCTTTCTTTTTAGTAAATTAGTTTTTGCAGAAAGAATCTACACTACTGTTCTAATTGACCTTTTTGTGTGTAGGATTTCAGTTGATTCTACCAGAGTTCAAGATATTTCACTGAAAAAATCTACCAAGGTACAACAACTGTTTTGGCAAACTATATTTAAGCCGTATAGGCGTATACTTTCAACTCACCATGACTAGATGCAGGTGAAATCTATGATACTAACTATAATATCGCAATTAATAGCAAATATCGACTTAGATCATGAATTTGATTAATCAGAATTACCGATGTTGTTCTCTCCATCCTTATTGCAAGCCTTGATTATAGTTTTTCTTCTGATACAGGTGAACGAAAGTAATAGAACAACAGAAGTTGGAAACACTGGCACTTATAAGACAGGTGACGTCGTAAATGTTATGTTTATTTCATGTCTATAGCTTGAGATTGGTATTTACCATTTATCTAAACTTTGGACGATTTGATTTTTACTTTAGATCAGAAAATCATCAAAAACAAAATTCCGAGCCTTGGATCAACTGCTGGTGGAACAAGGTACCTTTCTGCTAATCTCATGCCTAGTATATCCCCTTCATGTCTAGTTAGTAGATATTCCGAGAAGAATTTTTTTTAATGCCATACATTACCTATCAGTATGCTGAAGCCCTCATCATGTGACCTCTTGTCCATTAGCATAGCAAACACGTTTCTTATTTTGCTAAATGTTTTGTATAGTATCTGCTGAGAATAATTCTACATCTTTCATTGATTAACTTTCTTTTATTTGTTTGCTCTTGCAGAAAGTGTGTACCAGCTTTAAAAAGAACAAGCCTCACAGACAAGAACACGAAGAAGGTAGTTATCAATATACTTTAATATTTTCTCACAGTTAGCTGGTTATATAACGACTCGTGAGGCTAATCAGTTAGGATATCTAACTCAATTCTATGGCTCTACTCACTTTCCTTGATTTTTTTCCTTTTTCGTGCAGGAAAATGTCTCAAGCCTAGATTCAAAACAATTGGGTCAAGGTCCAGGTAACATGGATTTCTTTTCTAAATTTCTAATTTCTGATGGAAATGTGTATGTTAAATTGTAACGTGATTGGTTCAGTATCTGATATGAGCGAGTTTGTATTGTTTCAGCCGGTAAAGTCAGCAACAAAGCCCACCTAAGCAGTGCCAGAAGCTGTACCTGGAAAACTCGGACAAGTGTCGGTTCTATACCACCGTAAGTAAATATGCTTGCTTCTGATATCATTACTTAAGAAGTGAAGCTGTTGCTTCTCCCTCTTAAGAACCAGAAGTTTTTTACATATCATTTGTGAGCAGCAGCCTGCTAAGTTCATTTTCTTTGCATGGCCAGGGACTGCACCAACCAGAAAAAGAATAACGTACGTATCGCAAGGAAATCTATCAAGGTAATATACCTTAATTCCTTTCTTTGTATGCAAAAGGTTCTTTCATATAAAACCAAAGCTATTTTATGGCCTCTCAAAACTTTTGCCATGTCTAGTATCTACCGTCACTGAACTGGTAGCTCAGTCTTTTTTTGTTTGCTCTTATTATTCTGATCATTTTATCTGCCAATAATCACAGTCGTATTGAGATTTTTAGTGTAGTAGATATCTAATACCTTTCTCTCCCACTAAAGATCCAGACAACTGTGAAGACCTCGCTGCAAAACCGTAGTCCTCTTAAGAAGCCCCCGGTCAGTAGAAGTAAATCAAGATCTATTCTTTCAGTCCCTCCTTCTGAAAAAGCTGCTTCGGCATTGTCAATTCCGGAACAGATTGAAACAGAAGGTCTTAAAGAAGATACTCAAGAAGAGAGTTCATCTAATGGCAAAACAGACTCGGCTACGAAAATGTTGGATGTTACAGCGAGACCAAAATCAAAGCGTAGAAAGTCTTTCACATCTCTACTAGTGACTGGATCAAAGGTACACACAAAAAATGTTAGCGATTGTGTTGTAACCTCTTTTTTCTCCAATATAGCTAATTTCATATTTACTTGCAATTCCATAAGAACAATGATGAAACTGCACAGCAAGAAAAACTTCCCAACATTGATGATGAATCCAATCAGCTGGAAGTTGCTCAATATGTGGGCGACATATATCAGTTCTATTGGACTGCTGAGGTAATCCACTTGTTCCACATACATGCAACCTTTCTTTCCCTTATATTCTGTTTTCCTTATTCTGCAGGCGTTAAATCCAGCTTTGGGATACTACTTGTCAACTCCGACAAAAGCTAATCCAACTACGCGTGGAATTTTGATAAACTGGCTTATAGAAGTGAGTGCAGTTTTTATCGTTCTCATTTCAAGTTGATATTTTCGCTACTCAGTTTTTGAATCCTGTATCTCGCTTTTGCCTATTTGTTTGCAGGTTCATTCCAAATTTGATCTGATGCATGAGACTCTCTACCTCACAATGAATTTATTGGATCGTTACCTCTCCCAAGTTCCAGTAGAAAAAAATGAGATGCAATTGATTGGTCTTACTGCACTCTTACTAGCATCTAAATACGAGGACTATTGGCATCCTAGAGTAAGTGACACTGATCCTGAAAGCCAAAACCTCTCGTCAACTCCATATGGATTCAAACTTAAATTTACAACATCTATTGTATATGTCCATGTGCAGATCAAAGACTTGATTAGCATCTCCGCAGAAACGTACACAAGAGAACAAATCCTGGGAATGGTATAAATAAACTTCTCTATCCATTTGACAGTCTTTTGCATTATTAATCTTCTTTTTCTATTAGGAGAGGATTATGCTCAAACAGTTAAAGTTCCGATTGAATGAACCGACCCCTTACGTTTTCATGTTGAGGTTCCTAAAAGCTGCTCAATCAAACAAGAAGGTATGCGCGGAACTTGCATCTGATAAGCTATATAACCTGTAAAAGCAAACATGTATGACTAAGCAGGCATTTGATACTACTATTTTGTCAGCTTCAACAACTCTCCTTCTACCTAATAGAGCTGTGTTTGGTCGAGTATGAAGCCTTGAAGTTCAAGCCTTCGTTGCTTTGCGCATCAGCCATCTACGTAGCCCACTGCACTTTACATATGACTCCAGTCTGGACTGCGCTCCTAAACAGCCATACGCACTACAATGTCTCCCAAATGAAGTAAACTGTCTCTTTAATATCAACATTTTACAGATCACATGACTGATTACAATGCTTAAGCTCCTTTGTATACATTTGTTTTATCACAGGGATTGTTCTGACTTGATCCTAGGGTTCCATAAAGCAGCAAAGACAGGAAAACTGAGGGTCACTTATGACAAGTACATGAAACCAGAACGAAGTAACGTCGCAGTCTTGAAACCCTTGGACAAGCTTCCTCTCTAAGCCAATCTAAAGGGTATGTTCAAATTGCTGGAAACTTGTTTTCTATTTGCTTCCTTTATTGGAACTGAATCTTATTCATGCCTGGAAACTGCAGGGAGATTCATCTTCATGGACTCTAACTATTAAAAGAGAACTCAAGCTAATGGTGGTTCTTGATTAGGTGTGTGTTGTTTTGTTGTGTGCTTCTAATATTTCAAATGATCACAAAGACAAAACTCCAATGTATTGACAAAGTTGTATAAAGCTTCTGCAACGACATTACACTTTAAATGTTTCCTCAAAAGCTTATAGTCAACCAGATCTACTCACACACATATATATATAACCTTCAAATGTAAAACCTATATACACCTGAAAAGGGTGTCCCTGAGTATGTGTTATAGCAACTCTACTTCCACTATGAGCATGCGATTAAACCATCTGTCACAAGCAAATCCTGTGTCTCGTCCACTGTACGTCTCACAGCTTGATAGAACTCAATCCACGAAGATGAACACGAGTCAACAGGACCGGAAAAGAACGTTGGATTGGGACTACTTGCAGAAGCAGTCACCAAATCCAAAACCGACACTGCAGGTTTGAGCTGATGAGGGAAATTGAAAGCCAAGTTATCGACTTTATGCTCATAGATTTTGCCATTACGGTCGAGTTTATACCGAGAAGTGCCTTGAAACTCTCCTTTAGCTTCCCATGGAACTCTAGGCACACCTTTGAGCGTCCACCTGATTAGAATCATGTTCTCTGATGGTTGCCATACCCTGAAGATCTCAAGAGAGATGTCTCTGAACAGTATCTTCCCATGAAACCTGAATGCCCAGAAGATTAACTTGTAGTTCTCAATCCCACTGAATGTGTTCATCGGATCCACAAACGTGACATCGTCCCTGTAAAACAATATAAAGAATCTAAATTTTTCCGAAGTTTTTACAGACTCCATACAAAGATTCGTTCTTTCATCAAAAGATTCATTCTTTCATCCCTTTACCTGTAGATGTCGTAGTTTAGATCTTTAGCGAAGATCAAAGGCAAGTCTTCACGAAGGGTACGGACAGCGAGACCGAGATTGATGTAGAATTCATCTCTGTCGTTGTGGTTATTATGCTTGTCTTGAGGAGTGGGTTTTGTCTTGACCTGGGCGTCTTGAAGAGGAGGAGACTGGACGGAAGAAAGAGAGAGTGTGGGGAGATTATTTTCATCGAATACGTAGCCTGTTGAAGACGATGGGGATTGAGATGGAGTGAAGATGGGTCTGAGGTTTGTGGATTTTCCGGTTTGGAGAAGTATTGAAGGAGATAGATTGGAAAGAAGAAAAGACATGGCTTCTGGTTTTGTTTTGAGAGCTTGTCTTTGTGTTGTTTTTTTTTTCTCTTTACGTTTTCACGGCGAAGTTTCTGAGCTTGAGGATGTCTGGTTGAGAAGAGGAGTGAAGCACGGAAGTTTTGTTGGAAGATAGATAGCCAAGCTCTTTTTCTTTCTCTTTTGAGTGGTTTTAATTTAAACTTTCATTATTTTATTTTAATTTATTTTATTTTATTTATCTCTCTAATTAAAACCAAAATAAAATAGGTTTTGTCTTTTGGATATGAAATAAAGAAGTTTAGACGAGATAAAATAAAACAATGGAAGCTGGTTTGACCGAGGTTCATTAATGCTTCTATACCAGGAGATTAAAGTTTCAATCCTTAAAAAATGTAATTTATTAAACAATTATGCAGAATATAAAAGAAAGACTTACAAGAAATTTTTAGCATAATGTAAATAAATTCGGTTAAACGTAAATCTTCATAGGATGGCTTAGACTCAGGTGGACTTACAAGATATTTTTAGTATGGTGCAAGTAAATTCGGTTAGACGTGAATTTTTATAGAACGGCTCAGACTCAAGTGGTGTAGTTAGTGGTAGTATTATCGGTTGTCAAATTGTTAATGTATTATTTTTTATAATTGTAATATCATAATAAATCAGAAATTAAGATCAAAATGAAATAATAAAAAATTAGATAATTTTACATAATAAAGAAAATGATGCAATGATTAAAAAGAAAAACAAAGAAAACAACAAAAGTTTGGAGCTTTCATGGCATAGTCAATATCCAAACATGAAAATTGCATTAATAGATTTGAGAGAAAAAAATGATTTTATTTCATGTGATGCAATGTTATCTTTTATTTTAGGTTTACATTTGGTTATATTTTTATTATTCTATGTATAATGTTATTTTAATTTAAATAAAATTGTTGTTAAAAAAAGAGCATCGAGTTTTAAACATAACGCTGTTTTTTTTTTTTTGACAACAAACAGCACGCGGTTCACTTTACTAAAAGATAGATAGCGTGATTTTGGTTGAAAATCTAAACGGCATACGATGCATACCCCCACAAAGAGAGACGGCAAAACGTTCTGTAGTCAAACTACACAATTCACTCGCATGTTTAAAGAAAGGACATTCATTCTGTCTTCAAACAGACAAAAGGATGCGAAAAGAACATAAACTACTACACTAGAAGATAACTTATCATTCACCTCCTGCATCTTTTCTGGTCTGCGTTCTTCTACGAAGCTCAAAAATCTAACTATACTTGTGTTCAGGACGATGAGTGAACTCAAAGTCAATGTGAACAAAAGCACGTTCCACCTCAGCAAGTTGCTCAAGCTTCTCCTGAAGAGTCTCTCCGATATTGTGAGCCTCTTGCAGTCTCATGTCCTCTGGCAAAACAATGTCCACCTCCACAAAGTAGTGTGACCCAAAAGTGTAGGCCCTAACTGTGTCAATATGTTTGATTTGTTCGTGATGGTTCCATATCAAAAATGTCAGTTTCGCCAAGAAGTCTGGAGGCGCTGAGCGTCCTATCAGCGAGTGGACGTTCTCTAGTACAGTTCTTGCCCATGTTCCTATAGTGTACAAAGCTATCTGCAACCATTAAAACAAAGAAACGTTTCTGTAATCTCACAAGATATTATCATTTCACATTTTAAAGTTTTTTTTTTTTTACTTACAAGTATAGCACCAGAGGGATCAATCCACCAGTAGAATTTGACGGCCAAGACAGCTGTTGCTAAGCCTATTGAATTGGTGACAACGTCAAAGAGGTGATCCTGAGCGTAGGCTCTAACGATTTCGTTCTGAAAACCTCTGCAGTAAAGCATGAGGAGAAACTTGATGATAGTGACAGAGGCCATGATCCCTATCATCCATTTCTCCTCTGTGCTATTCATATGAATACCACGCTGCAACAAGAAAGGTTATATATACACATTAAGTAACAGATGAAAGCAGTTAAAAGTTAAAACATAGTGATGTACCTTGGAGACTAGTTGCCTTCCTGACTCTAGCAGAACTTGCAGTCCAAGAGTTGCCATCACGGACGCAAACACAATGATGCCCTGTTAATAGTGTCAAGCGTTAGCTTGCAAAGGCAGAAACACAAGTTTTTTGTGTATATTTTCTTGTGAGACGAATAAAAACTGGCTATGGTGAATCAGAACACAAAGCATTACTGGACAGAACATCATACCACAGGTTGCATCCGACGTTTGCCAATAGGATAATGAAACTGGTTTGGTTTTCTCATGGCATTAGCTGTGAACCAGAGAATGAAACCAGACAAGAGATCCAAGAGAGAGTCCAGAGTTGAAGCAATCACAGCCATGGATCTACTCTCCATAGAAGCATAAACTTTTGCCACAAAAAGCACCAGATTTGTAGCGTTGGAGATGTGAACAGCCAGTCTCTCACTCTTTGCAAGCTTCTTCATTTCTTCCTGTTGAAACCAAAAAAAAAAAAAAAAGATTGAGGATGCGTAAAGGATAAAAGGACAAACCTTAAAGAGACAAAAACTCTAAGGAAGAGTAAATAAACAGGTATAGAGCCGGACTTCAGTTGGAGCTCCAGAAGCAAAACCGGTTTCATGGATAGTCTCCATCTCATTGAAGCCTTCGAGGAGTCTCTCTTGCTTCTTGTAGTATTCAGAGACTTTACGTTCCTTCTCTACATTGGAGAAAACAGAGGATGGTTAAACTTAAACCCCTTTTCAAGCTATATAACAGGGTTTTAATAGTTTCTAAATCATTCTACAAGGCCTTATTAAACCTCTGACCTGTAGAGAATCTGATACAGAGCATTCACAAAAGTTTTAAAACAAAGAATCTGGCATATACAAATTCCAAAAGATAAATATTCCCTTAGATCAATCAATAGAAAAGATTTTAATCAGAAATAATTATAGTTTATTTCCAGAAACTGTATTATATACTTGAATTACTCAACCAATATAATATTAAACCTTTGACCTATAGAGAATTTGAGATTCCATCAAAAGAGTTGATCACTTTGAATCAACAAAAGAAAAAAAAAAGATTAATATTCCATTATATCAATCAAAAGAAAGGGTTTTTATCAGAAAATAATTATAGCTTTTTTTGCAGAATTATATTTACTTGAATCAACCAATATATTAATTCTGAACAAGGTTCAACAGATGAGTGTGACACTTTATATATTAATCCAACAACTAAAATTAGCTTAGTTACTTATTCTGTTTTCATCATGCACAAGATTAGGTTTCGTATAAAAAAACTCATGTTCGATGATCCACACGAACACATGATTAAGCCAGATCACGAGAACAAAACACAAAACTGTAACACGAAGAATAAAACTCACTGGGAGTACGGAAGTAGCGGGAGAAGCGAGTACGAACGTCGTGACGAGCGGTGGACGACGGAGAAGAAGGAAGTTGAAAAGTGTCGAGGCTAAGACGCCAGGAAGATGAAAGCGGCGGCGCATCTTCGTCACTAGGTGAAAGGTCGACATTGTATTGGTCTGCCGTGGGGATTATATGCTCTGTAGCCATTCTCCGATCACTTTCTCTCTGCGTTCGGATTTTGTTAAGAATATTTATTTTGAATAAGCAGACAAAAATAAAGTGGTTCCGGGGAAGTTGTGAGAGAAAATCTTGAATTGGTTGCTTGTATGAGAAAATATAGGGAAGTTAAGTAAACAAGTCGCGCACAACTCTCTAACATAATAATTTATGTTCATCTCAAACAAAAATTTCAATTACTAAAGATATTTTATATTTTAATATTAATATATATACACACACGCAGTTTAGACAAAGTATTTAAAAACCTACTTTTTTTTTAAATGATGAGTTGAATTGGTAAAAAAGTTACCGGTTATTGCCACAGCGAGGAGTTGGTTAATCATAGTAGCATGTAACATGTATGTTTCCACTTTTTAAAATTATGTTAAAAAAGCATAGTGCTATCTCTTTTTCAATATAGTAATAGGTCATGCGAGATACATTTTGTCTTGTGTTTTTTAAGAGGTGCACATAATTGGGAACTTTGTCGTGAAGATTTTTATTAGAGAGGTGACGAAGTAGGTGGTCCAAAGAACCGGACCAAAACAACAAGGAGTCCCCGATGCTTTTACATCACACGTTCGCAAGTTCCTTCATATAAAAGAAGAAATCAAACACGGCCACGTAAACTAAAGAAATTTTGGGATATGATGATAAAGACTAAAATGATCAAATAATTTTGTGTAGTGCCACATTTGGTTGAACTTGAAGATCAAAGTGGTTTTCCACTATTGCTAAAAAAGCTTTTGTCCCCTTGTACTTTTTCCTCCATTTTCTCCGAGTGCGTTTTCTTTCATGTAACATCCTGTTATTAACAAAATCACATTAATATCTAAAGCCTTTTTATCTGCTTGTATTAATTAGTGTATCAGCTAATTTTTCCTTTAAGTGGATCTAACGTCACGCTTTCATCGCCCTATTTTATTCGGTCCATTGTTGAATCAATCAACTTTTGCGTACCTAATTATCGTAAAAACTTAAACACTATGTTGATTATCGCCATAATCTCAGAGCCACATTCTTGTCAACTCATGGATGTCTCACTTCACAGAAATTCGATTGTTCATCTCATCTCGACAATTATAAATTAACTGTATGCTAATAGACAAGTTATCGAAAGCTAATGAACCAACTAATCACCTGAAAATATTCCCAGCTTGGAGACCTGCCCTTGAACTTGACAATATAAAAAAGGGACAAAAAAGTTCTTTCAATGGATTCGAACTCAGAATTAGATACTCGCCAACAACTTTTTTTTCTTAATACAACAAACAAGTCTTCTTATTACTAGAATCGTATGGTTTCAAAACCAAGTCGTGATACCATGAGGAAAACCGGAAGGTTCATCATTTGAACCCCACCCAACAACCACACAAAAAAGAAGAAGAAACAACTAGGTACCTATTGCACCGAGTAAGGAGAAAATCTTTGGCTTCTGCAAGAAACCACCATGGTTTAGCGGATGGCTGCAACTAACGCCATATGCTCTATCAGGTCAAGGACTCGGTTGCTGTAACAAAAATATTTTTAGCCTTTGCATACTGTCAAATGTCAAATTGATGGTAAAGGTAGGAAAGACAGAGAGAGACTAAGTGTTTACCTGTAACCCCATTCATTGTCATACCAGGAGACAAGTTTCATGAAGGACTTGCTTAACCCAATCCCGGCATTAGCATCAAAGATACTTGACCTGAAATTTTGATAATGATCACCACATCTGAGAACCATAACTAGATTTTGAAATCCGTGATCCGTTACAAGATTTTCAAAATGGGATACCTTGAATCTCCGACAAAGTCGCTGGAGACGACATCATCTTCTGTGTACCCCATAATTCCCCTAAGTGGTCCTTCTGAAGCAAACCTATTCAGAGTTTAACATCAAAATAGTGAGATGTTACTACAGCTCCACACTTCCACGAGTTTCAGGTAAATCATAATGGTATGGGGAATTAGTCATACTTTATGGCAGCCTTAACATCTTCGTACGATGCACCCTTCTCAAGTCGGCAAGTTAAATCCACAACAGAAACATTTGGTGTTGGGACACGGAAAGCCATTCCAGTTAGTTTTCCATTGAGTTCTGGAAGAACCTTACCAACAGCCTATTGAACAAGACCAACAAATAAAAAGGTATGGCTTAACGATGATTCCAGGTTGGATTTGTATCTATATGATTCTTGTACCTTTGCTGCGCCAGTTGAGCTAGGAATGATGTTTTGACTAGCGCCTCGGCCTCCTCTCCAGTCCTTCATTGATGGGCCGTCCACAGTTTTCTGAGTTGCTGAATACGGAAAGAAGATATGAACAAAACACATAATTTAATCTTCCCAGGTTATTGATATACAGTGATTTATAATAAGATGGCCAAGAATCAAGCACCTGTGGTCGCATGAACTGTTGTCATCAAGCCTTCAAGAATTCCAAATTCCTCATGCACCACCTGAAAGATACAAGTTATGGCCCAGCGACAATTTATTTGACATTCATGGAGCTCTTGGCAACTACTTATTTACAGGAAAAAACAAGGTGCAATGTTACAAACCTTAGCAAGTGGTGCAAGACAATTGGTGGTACAGCTTGCATTAGAGACTATGTCCATGTTAGGTTTGTATGTCCTCTCATTTACTCCAACAACAAACATTGGTGCGTCCGCTGAAGGGGCAGAAATGATGACTTTCTTGGCGCCACCCTAAACAGACAATACAAAAAGTCAAGCAAATCATAAGCCAATTTAGGAGACGAATATTTGAATTAATTTATATAAGGACTGGTATCATATGTTAGCAGCAGTGACAAAAATAGATTAACAAATGCGTTCAGATGAAATTGCACACCTTCAAATGCGACGAAGCTTTTGCAAGGGTGGTGAATACTCCGGAAGATTCAACAACATAATCAGCTCCAAGATCAGCCCAAGGGATCTCAGCTGGGTCTCTGAGGAAGGATCAAGAAGATGTCAGGTTCTAGAAAGAGTAAGCTTATTACCTTATCAATAGAAAAACATGACACCTAATTCATAGTTTGACTATATGAATCAACTTTTGACACATTACCTCTTGCTAACAACTTTGACTTCTTTTCCATTGATCTCCAAAGTGGAATCGTCAATTACATTAATAGTTCCATTGTAATTTCCATGAGTAGAATCATACTTGAACATGTAAGCCTGCATAAGAGGGGAGAGAAAATTTCTATACAAGTATTCAATGCCTCTTAAATTGATTTCCTTAGAACTATATTGGGTTCAAGCAAACGAAAAAAATTACAATGAGTAAGATACACTAAATGGGATGAAACACTAGCAAGAGTAAACGGCACTGCAAGTTTCATCTACTGCTAGATAAGACAGTGATCATCCTTACCATGTACTTGGCGTCTATGAATGGATCGTTGACTGCTACAACCTCAATATCATCTCTGAAAGTTGCGATGCGAAGGACCAACCTTCCAATCCGACCAAAACCTATCCCACACATAACAAAGACTCAAGCATCTGTAAGAAAACGAAAAAAAAAGTAGGAGACTAGAAGTATATCAGAAGGAATGTAAGAACATACCATTGATCCCGACCTTAGTCTTGGCACTTCTCCATGACCCTATACCAGTCAACCAAACCAAATTCAGCAGTAAAGAATGCAGCCACAGATAAAGCTACAGAGTTTCAATGATTTTTTTTGTTTACTTACTTTGAACAGAAGGAGGTGCTTCTGTAGCTGTTGCCTTGATAGGTAGAACACTTCTCGCTTTGCATTTCCTTTACAACAACAATTGAACACAAAAACACTTGTGAGATTCAAATAAAACATCGTGAAATTTGCATGTGCCGCATTGTTAGTTTGTGACTGAACTGTAAAGATGAAGATGACGCTGTTGAAATCGCAGCAACGGAGAATCTGGACGAGGTCAGGCTGTGACTGAATCCAAGACTTGACGTGACCTAATCGTTTAACACAAAATACAAAACGTATAATAACCTCAGTGCTGCCTATCAACGATTTGAGATTCTCATCAGATAACACATGCTAAACGACTACACATTTAATTGCAACGACAAGCGAGGAAGCGGATAGAGATGATCAAGATACAATAACAGCCACCAAGTTTACTATACACTGAAGAAACTGAAACCAGAGCTAAAGACGTGACGTCACCTCTTAATCTTAAGCAGAACTAAGCGAGACGTAATCTTAAACATATCAAGTCGAGCACAACCTAGATAGGGGAGAATTGAGAACGCTTTATACCTGAGAATAGTCGTGTGACGGAGATGTATATAGCTCGAGACGTGGAACGACGGCGGAAGTGTCGGCAGATCTGAGAAGAGAATTGAAGGCCATTGCTAAGCTACAAGAGAACTAAGAGATCTCGCCGCTAAACCCCTAAAACGCTTCCGGTGTACGGTTTTTGAATGTAGCTGTAGACGAATATTCTCATGTAAATATGTTCCGCTGCGGCACGGCCCATTGGAGCTAATGGTGCGATTCAAATTAAAGGCTGAGATTTTACAAAGGAGCAACAGAAGTCAACATCAGGCCCATATCAATGGGCCTGCAGTCATATTTGAACGACTTATCAATAACGGTTGGGGTTGGAGGAAGCCATAAAGCGACGTAAATCTTTGCCACGTCAGACTATCGTGGGCCCCACTAGCCTTTTATTTCCATTTTCAGGTAAACACGTGGCAAAAAAGTCTAGCTGGACCTCCCGCTAAAAATAGCTTCACATTTAAAAACGACGTCGAGCTGGTCCAGCTCCGAAACCGCCAGGTGGCGTTCTTCTGCGTTTCGTTCGTCATCACACAGTCTCTCCTCTGTGTGAGATTGATTTTGATGTTCTGGCTCTCCCGTTAAAAATGGCGAACCGTTGGTTTCTTCTTCCTCGTTCTTATTCTTTGTGTATCCCCTAGAAATTTCCCAAAGATCAATTTGAATCTTTCGTCTCCTTCCTCTCTCTGCTCCTGTCGTCGAACCTTCTCGTCCTTCCCGCTTACGCCTTCGGCAAGGTTTCCCCCAATCTTTCTCTCCTCGTTTTTGCCACGTGTTGATTTTCAATGCGATTTGTTTTTCCGTTACGTTTGTTGAGCAATGTTGACATGATAGTTTCTAGTCTCCTAATTGATTTTACGATTTGAGTTTTTTTAATAATGTCTATGCTTGTGGAATTGGATTTGAATTAGGCAAACATGTCACGTTTTTGTAAACGATATGTTTGCGCTTGGTTCTTCTCATATAGTTTATGTGGCTTGAGCTCCACGCTTTCTATTAGATAACTGTGGTTGTAGAATCTGTGATAATTCTCTTTTTTTTTTTTTTGACAGATGCCAATGGAAAGGTCGTATAGCAATGCAAGAATGGCCAATAGTTTCATGTACTGGAATGATTGTGTTGACCCAGACGATTTGGAAGCAATGTGGATGGATCCTGCGGTGAGAGCTGAGTGGTTAGAGGTTGGGGAGACTAAAGGGCAGAAGGTTCATCTCTCAAGGGATCCTGATGGTCAGCCTTTTCTCACTCAGACTGAGATGAAGGTAATCTGTTACGGGATATATACGATATCTATACTTTAGATATTTGTTTGTGATAGTTATGTAAATATTCCTCTCTAGATCATATGAATTAGGAAGAAATTGGACTTTCCGTCATCAATTTGTGGGATGATCGGGCCACTGTCCAGGCCGGATTAATGGTCAGGGTATGGCCGGTTCTGATACTATGTTAGATTCGAGTTTATTATAGGCTTCCAACTTAAAACCAATTAGTGATTACTGGATTGGCCCAAGTCCCTCCCATTTATATTTCCAATGTGGGATCTTTATCCCAATATAATCTTTTTTTTTTAGTATGTTTGGCTGAAACTTCATGTGGTTTTTATTTGGCTTCAAGCATTCCTTGTTACTTGCAGGCTGTTGCTGATATCACTGTCCGGAGACATTTTGATTCAATATTGGATCCGGTATGCTTCACTGTCATCTCTAACTTAATGTTTCATATTCCACTCTCATGTTACAGAACAAGTTTTTTAAAGTGAAAAGCTATTACTTTTGAGCTTCGTTTTAGCTTCTCTTGAGATTCCCTTTCTGATCTCAGATTTTTTTCGTTTCGTTCTTTTTATCTGCAGGAAATGATATGCGCAATTGCTGAGCTTGAAAGTGACCGGAAGCCTCTCATTATGCGGTACAACAAAAAGACCAAGGAAACAGGCTTAGGGATGTTACAAGTTTTTGCAAAGACAGCAGAGTGGTTGGCTGGGTAAGTTATCAGTTTTAGTTTCCCTCCTGTCCAAGATCATATCTTAAGTTTGTTTTAACACAAATCTTATGTTTCGGTTTTGGTCAAACTTTATTGCAGAGGACAAGGCTATCAGGAGTATAATGTGGGTGAAAATCCTGATCTTCTTCACAAGCCTTTTATAAATGTATATTTTGGGGCGGCTTACCTGAAATGGTTGACAGACTATCAGAATAAGTATGATATATCTATCTTTACAACTTCATTTACAAAAAGCTATTTTCTCTTGGAACTACTTAAATATTTGACAATTTTCATGTGCAGCCAGAGAAGTGAAGAGTTTGTGGTCAGAGCATATAATGGTGGGACAAAAAAGGCGACTCACAAATCTACACTACCATATTGGAAACGATACCTTGTAGTGAAAGAGGCTCTCCCTTCAAGGTTTGTTGTTTCTGTTCTCTGATTCTTCTGTCTACCTAGTTTCTGCTGTCACATTTTATGCATGGTTGCAAGGAAAAGGTTCTTGCTTTGCAGTTTCTTTTCATATTGTCATTTTTGTCCGTTATAGTTTCACCAAGAAGATAGAAAAGCATAGCTTCCGTATTAAAACTGCAGTCTGTTTGGTAATTGTTGTTGCAGAAAGCATGTGGATGCTGGTCCTTCAAGCTTTCATCCTACTAATCCCTCGTCACCAAGCTCAAGTAATCTCTCCCTATTTGTAGATTTCTATATCATACAACAATAACACGTCCATTTCAAGCATTTATGATCTCCATAATTCTTAGGAGTAGCATGGCGCAGTGTGTCAATGATTTAGCTGCAAATGCACGCAGATTTCAAGAAACATCTATCATTCTCTTTAATGTTTTGATATGAACTAGAATGCATCTTATGATTTGACAGACACCAATTTCACATACTGGGACTCTAGGGCTTCCCCTGAAGATATGGAAGATATGTGGAATCATCCCGAAGTATGTAAAGAGTGGACCAAATCCAAAGAAGAAAGGGGAAAGGTTCGGTTCTCGCAAGATGGTGAAAAGAGGCCTTACCTTTCTCGAGGGGAAATGAAGGTACTCTATTTTAACTGAGCAGCTACTACATATATTTCCCCGAGCAACTAGGCATAGTTCACACCATATTACTTAAAAGAGTAATATGCTATAATCTTTCCTTTCCAGGCTGTTGCAGAGATAATCGTTTCAGAGTACTTCAGCACAAAAGGAATTAAAGTTGTAAGTGAGCATATCTGTTAACTATCACCTGCTTTAGTAGACATATAATTGTGTTATTTATAAGTTCCATTTCACTGATGCAGCCTCTTGTTTGCGCTGTTGCCGATACTGTGTGCATGAGGTTTGTGAACGGTACTGGGAAGAAGGTGGGAATTCTCGGAGTGGACTACTCAACTGCTGTGTGGTTAAACACGTAAGTTTGTGACAACCCAACTTCATTTCTTTGTAGTCACAATATAAACTCTAATGAAATTTCAAATCCAAATGTGTCTGGTTTCTGAATGAAGGGAGCTAGGATATCGAGCATACAGAGTCGATTCAGCAGACGATCTAACCAAACCATTTGTTTCTATGTACTTCGGCGTAGCCTATTTGGTTTGGTTATCCGAGTATGAAGGAAGGTAAGCCTCCCACTCCAAACTCTCTACTTAAAACTCCTGATCAAGTGGAAACAATACATTTATATTTGTTCAAACTATGCGGGTACACAGGGAAAGAAGCCATCAGTTCATTATCCAAGCTTATATCAAAGGTCCTGAGCACGTCGACCTTGAGGCATCATCATGTCCACTCTGGCTCAAGTTCGAGCAAGCTCTGAGTTACTATGAAGAGCCCAAGAGGTAATCAATGTTCATAACCTAAGCGATTATGTTTACCTGATAGAAACAACACAAAAATCTGAAATTTGATGGTTCTTTGTTTCATCAGGGATACGGGAGGCTGCATTATCCTCTAAGACCAGCTTCTAATACTCACATCTAATACACACATATATGATGAAAGATTAAAGGTTTGAGCTTGGATTCGCGTGTTTGTCACTCAACATTTCATTTCTACTGTTTCTTTGCTTATATTTTTTTGTCCTTTCCTAATTCTTTGTCCTTATTGTTTTGTATGTGAATGATGATTAACATTTAACACCGCTATATATAATATCAAACAAATGACAGGTTCATTATAAATGGCAAGAAACAATCTTTGATATGTAGGAATATAGAAATAAGCACATCTCATAAGCAAACTATGAAGGAGCTATCATTTGATAAGCAAAACTACCACTACTACTTTGGTTTACACTAGAGTAGCATTGGTTCATGATTATAGGCAACCATCAGGCCTATTTTGCTACATATACAAAAAACCCAACCTCATGCAAAATTATGAACAAGGTTGTACAACAAACTGTAAAGCAATTGGGGTTTGATTTGATCTCTGCTAAGCTACTCGAATATTTTTCATTCAGCTTGTCTTTTCAGTTGAGAGGAGGCTTACCACAAATTTTGTTTATCAATTTCCACTTGTCCTTAAGGTCACTTGGAGCCCGATCTTCGTGAAACACACCCCGACCAAACTCCAAGATCTTCCGCCACGGAATATTCCTGACTCCAGGGAATTTCTCCACTCCAACCTTGAGCATCTCTTCTTCTTCTTTCGTCCAAAACACTCTCTTACGTTTCCTTTGCTTTGGATCATGAAGTGCAGTTCCACCATTCTCTGGAGGTACTGTCCGAAAAGGCTGTGCTTCTATTGGCTGCTGCTGTGCTTCTATTGGTTGGTGGATGACCAAAGCTAACTCTTGAACTTTGCTGTCACAATGATCTTCTTCTTGCTCATTGTCCTGAGACTGAGTTTCATCCGCAAAAACCTCTTTCCTTCTCTGATCTTTCTCCAACGCCATGAACTTCTCGTAAGATTCATCACATTCATTTACATTCTTACTAACTCCTCGAGACTTGTCAATGACCAAAAGCTTATCTCTTAGATTCAACGACTTGAGGACAAGACGCTTGTACCAACAGTAAGGACAAAAGAAATTACCGAACTCATCAAAGTCGGGTTCAACGCATGTACAGCTTTGATGAATTGATATAAGACATTCCTCTCCGTGACATACTAAAACCCAATCGTCTTTTACATCGCAAACGTAGCAAGAACCCTTCCTGTTTTCATTTTCTTGATTTTCTTCAGCTCTATTGTCCGAATCGGAGCCAGGAGGTGATGAAATTCGAACCCTCTTCTTACTCATACCTGTCCAATCAAATGAAGACGACTCACCTCCGCCCTTCTAGAAGAAAAAGGAGATGAGATATGAAAGGGATCTCGAGAGATTGGTGTCAGGTTTTCTTTTTTGTTGGTTTCGGAGAGGGTTTGTCAGGGCTGGAGAAATCGTCTTAGCAAATGCGAGGAGGTTAAGTTTGGTTTATGATTGGTCGGATTCTTCTGTTGTTAAATTGAACCAATCTTGTATATCCGGTTTAATATTCAGGTTCGTCTAAACCGGATTTGAACTCACCTAGTTAACCTAAAAACTCAAAGTAGATTGCACAAAAAAAAAAAAAGTAGACAAACGTTATTGCCCTGTTCGTTTGGTTGCCGCAGGTTTCGGCGTCGACGTCAGCGTCGGCGTCGGCGGTAGCGTCAGCGTTAATGAAAACATTTGTTGTTCGTTTAGCAGACGTTGACGCTACCGCCGACGCCGACGCTGTCGTAAATTGTTGTTCGTTTATAAGACGCTGCGTCAAAAAGATGCGGCTGCGTCACTTTTAGGTTTAGATTTTGTGTAAATACTCTAGTTTATCAAGGGTAAAACAGTAAATTACCTTATTGGCCGCATGTTTTAGGTCGTGGACGCTGGTTTTATCGGCGTCAAACGCAAGACGGAGCGTTCGGACGCGGCGTCAGACGCAGGTAGGTGCGTCAACCAAACGAACACGATTCTAAAAAAAAAGTTGACGCTGACGCTGACGCACCTACCTGCGGCGACCAAACAACAGGCCGCTGCGATGACGAGTAACTTATAGACATTGCTTGAACATTCTTCAAACAAAGCTTATTTCTATGAAGCCTATGAAGGTTTAAAGACGGTTGATACTCTTAAGCAACAGTACATTTTCTTAAGACAGAGATGCCAAAGAACTTTATCTTGTCTCTAATGGAAGAGGAGGAGATTCGATCAGCCATAATTTACGAGTTCATCTTTTATTGTCTACACTCTAAAGATCGTCTGGTGTGAAAACATTCTTCATATATACCAGTCACAAGTCCTTTTCCATGGACCATATAAGTAAGAACACTAACATTATCTTTATCAACTTCGACAGAGTTACTGATGAAGATACAACGCCTCAAACCAATTTTATTACTTAAACCTGTTTTTTTCTTTAGTTTTTTGGTAAAAGAAAAGGGAAAGGAGAAAAGGGTCAACAAATATCTCCCTCCTGACCCCAAAACATTAAAAAGAGTAAAGATTAAAGACACTCTGTTTTACTTTGAAGCCTTATTGTGAGCTGGCGGTTTGGACTGGTTCGAAGTTACAGCAGTTGTCATCACACGTAACCGACCAGCTATCTCCGTGAAGGATGGCCGTGCCGTCGGATTAGGCGCCCAACATTCCTCCATTAGTATTCTCCAGTCAGTGTCACAGTAACTTGGTATGGTCGGCCTCAGTGTGTTGTTCACTATCCCACCTGCACTTGACCGTAGAGTAGTTAGGGCACAGTCATGTCCAACACCCAAAAAATAAACGACCAGACACGATATACAGCTAGAGTTTCACTACTGAAACTGAGTCAAGAAGGACATAACTGATATGCCATTAAGAGTTTACGTGACAAGGAAGAAGAAGCAGAACGTGATGGAGGGAACTAAAAGAAGTGATGAGCTGGCAAAATTCTAGTGTCGTATTAAATAGAAAGTTTGTATACGAGTCTTGAGTATAAAAGACTCTATAGTTAGTTACAAGAGATCATTCTGTTAGGAATCTTGAGAGGCTTGATTCTCGTGTGTGAGAACTCAAGAATTGGCTTAGTACTCCGACTTGTGGAGTCTAAGAGAGGGTGGTTGGGCGGTTCGTAATCAATAAATACTTCTGTTCTTATCAATAACCTGATTAGAACCTCAGTTTCGTTGAGAATCAGTCAAAGCAAAACTCAAACAGAACCAAAACATTAATCTTATCAAAAACCGAGCCTAATGGTAATCAGTTTCTATATTTCATAAGTTGTAGGTCAGTAAAAACGCACCTATTATAGCACCATAGTGCATATTAGCATATGGTTCCTCTCCAGTTAGAATCTCCCACAAGACTATACCAAAAGAGAAGACATCCACCTGCGTGTAAACGAGTAATAATATCTCACAATGCTTTGTTTCCATTTTTATTTACTCACACTATGAAACATTTTATTTTATTTACCTTCTCTGAAACTTTGCTGCTGCTACCGTTTAGAAGCTCTGGTGCCATCCATGGAAGGGTTCCACGTACACCACCAGATACTAATGTATTTCTTTTAATTTTCGACAAACCGAAATCACCAACCTAGAGTAAGAACAAGTGAAGAGTATAAGGCAAACAATCTGATGTTGTTCAAAGAGACATCATATCAATGAAGCCATTTACCTTGCAGATTGGGCGAGAAGGATCTTTGAGGTTTACAAGTAAATTGTCACATTTCAAATCGAAGTGAACAATGTTTTTGGCGTGCAAATATTCCATTCCAAATGCAGCATCCATTGCGATGATTAGTCTCTTACGACGATCCAGGTGTCTGAAAACATAACAAGGAAGAGCAAAGAATCTTTTAACCAGTCATCAAAAAGGAAAACGGAGAAATGGTTGTAAGAGAGATGTGTAGTGTACCTATCTTTCCTGATTAGAACATGTCTAAGAGAGCCATCAACCATGTACTCTGCTACAGTAGCCAATGTCCCACCAGGTCCATCTTTTACAACACCATAAAATGCAACCACGTTTGGATGATGAAGCTTTGACAAAATTTCAGCTTCTCCCCAGAATTCACCAGTCTAGGAAATAGAAAAAGTAAAATATATTGATATGTTACAAGTGTAATCATTCTACATATCATTTTAACATATGCTCAAGGAAAAATATGCACTAGAAAAATGTAAAAACACTCACTAATCTCTCTTGTTCAGAAGATCGACCAGCAAAGCAACTCTTCTTTATCCTCTTGATGGCAACATCTGATCCTCTCCATTTCCCATGATACACTGTACCGAACGTGCCGGCACCAAGTTCCTTTAGCTCCTCGAGATCATCGTTCATAATGATCTAGACACAATCAAGAACAAAAGAATCAGACCAAGGTTGGAACCAGATAATTAATTTGACGTTTGATTCTTATAAACTTCATAAAACACTGGCACAGATCTTATTTTTCAAAGGCAAGCAAATGAAAGTTCTACCAGGTATAAGAGTTTTTAGTCCATCATACCTGCAACCCACTTGTATCATAATCTGACAAAGGCGAACCAAGTGGAGGAAGTCCAGCATTCCTTGTTTCTGTCTTTTCATTATCCTACAAGTATTCATCCTTATTAGTATATTCTTGTTATGGAATCATGTAATCAAATCCGCCATATACCTCATGTTCACAATCCGGAGTCCTTAGATTCTCAACCATAGCACCAAATTCCTCACTCTCTGTGACCTTCATCTGTGCACCCTCGTTATTGCCAGCAACATAATCATGATCTTGACCTACATTCAACTGAGCATCCACACGGTTCTCGGTTGTAATACCATCTCTAGTCAATGGAGCGATGTGATGCAACTTGGTATTCATTCGGCTATCTTCCATGTCAGATGGAAAGCCTGGAGGAATATCTTTTTCACTGAACTGTTCCTCGGCCAGTTTTCGAAAATAAGACCAGTTTTTAGGATCATGGTTCTCTACATTCAAACTAACACCGGCCCCATCATGCTGATATGCATCTACGCCTGGTGGTATGTCCTCAGAGAGTGCCTTTGCAAATATTTCAGAGAGGAAGTCTTGAGGGAACCGATCATTGATGTCAATAAGAACACTTGAAGAAGCTCGGTTTTCAGGGATTACATGATTAGTGGATGTGTCTACATGACTAAAATTAGGAGCTTCAGCCTCTATACCTCCACCATTGACCATTCTGTCCTTGTTGGCAGCATCAGGGTTTAAAACCTTTTCAGAGGTCGTTTCATTAACAATATGTGAATCTTCATGTGTTTTTTTACCCTCTCCTTGTTTTGCTAGATCTTGCTGTCCAGTTTGTGAATGAGACATTAAGAACTGAGACGCTATTGAGTCATCAGACTTGGAAAGGCGGTTTAGCATTTCTAAATGTTCACGAGGTATCCTCTCTGAACCATATACCCTCCGCGTGGGCGGTAAAGGCTCCGGGTAATCAAGATCGATTAAGTTTGACTCAGAGTCAGTCAGAGGAAGACCACATGTACCACTTGATGTTGAAATCTGATCATCCTCACCAGATACAGGAGCCTGCTCAGGAGAAACAGCCTCACGGTAAGCAGGAGGCTTCACAGGATTGCTCTGCCGTGGATCTCTTCTTGGAGGTAACATATGTGCAGCATCCTGGCTAGGTACAGTTGCAGTAACTGGTGCTGCCTCCCGAACTTCAGAGATATGATCCGCTTGAGGAGGATTCTGGCGATTTTCAGGCTCTATAGTCTCACGAACTTTCATCTCAGGTTTAATGTTTAGCTCTCCTGACTGCACTGGTGCGCTTTGCTGTGTTGTGCCAGGGTGATGGTTTGGCTGCTGGCCTTGGAAAGGCATGGAAACAGAGTAATTTGAAGAGCTGTGTTGATGATACATTGGAAACTGCTGTCTTTCTTCATAATAATGTGGGTACATTCCATAGGAGCTGGAAGAAATAGATTGTGGATACTGAAGAGTAGAACCTGGTGGAATAGATTGAGGATACTGAAGAGAGGGGCTTGGAGGAATGGCCTGTGCATAATTTGGCGGAACAGCTTGCTGAAACTGATATGCAGCATTGTGTGGAATAGATTGAGGATACTGTAGCATGGAGCTTTGTGGTGCAGACTCAGAATACTGCATAGAGGACTGTTGGTGATCAACCCCAGAAGGGGCAAGACCGTTGATGCCCTCAGTGTTCCTAACATCCAGCTCAGCTAAACTATTCACAGAAATGCTGTCCAGTCTATTAAGAGTTGAGTTGCTTCTTGATCCAATATCCATATCATTTACAGCTACAACATACTGAAACTCAGAGTCAGCATCATTTTGATTAACCCCCAAAAGAGAACCATCCAAATCACTGACAGAGAAAAGAAACACTCTAAGCTTCTGCGAACCCCCACGGTTTTCCATCTCATTATACTCCTCCATCATGTTCTGTAAATCTTCATCACATGATACAGACACCAAGGCGTCAAGATCTTCACCAGGAAGCTGGTACTTCACAACATGAGTCCTGTAGTATATCTCAAGAACTTTTTGCTTGAGTTCATGCCAAGATATATCTTTCCTTATGGAAATAATGTGTGTCTCACCTCCAACGTATCTAAGCTTTGAATCGCCTGGACGTGGGAGTATCTTCCCACCAAAGCTACAAAGGATTTTAACCTTTGCTGTTAAACTACCTGAGGCTGATGAAGAAGATGCATATCCATGAAAGTTTCCTAATAAAGCTTCTGGTGCTGACTGGATATGCCCAAGTTTGTTTCCAAACTCATGAAGCGGAAAGTTTGCTCTCTCATACTCCAGCATCCCATTTGCCACCGTGTCACCAGCTGCATTGGGGTTTGCAGACCTTTGAGAGATCACTCTATCTCGCAGAAACTCAAGAGAGAACTCTTCTCCTGTTTGTATGGAGTAATGAAGCCCTGGCCTAACATCTGAAGCATTCAAATTACGAGTGACGTGTGTTTGATCAGGTGTAAATGCTTGAGGGACAGAGTCATACACATATCCAGGTTCCATAGAGTGTTGCTGGAACTGATGTTGTGGTCTGTTTCTTTCCATCACAGAAACAACAAGAGTCCCCTTCAAATTACACAACAGAACCTGACATACTGAACCACTAAAACTACTGTGATGCCAAGTTGCTTTAGAGATTGCAGAACCTTGCAAATAATAAACTGCAATGAAGACAAATAGATATAAAGTTAGAAAGCTTTAAATCCTCCAGATAAGACCAATAATCTAATTCAGACATAATCAATGGTGAATGAATAGTTTGACAAGAAAACTCCAAAAGAATGCTTTTTGATTCTAAAAATGGAAACTTTCCTACAGAAACCTTTCACCAAATAATGAAAACCCCACAGGCAATAGTAATTAACAAAAAAAAAAAAAAGCCCAAAGAACAAGAAATGTAGAGCTCAACCTGTGCGGTGAGCAAGTTTAAGAAAGATTGTGAGAAGTAGACACAATCCAAAACATCTTCTTTTTGCTCAAATCTCAGGATAAATACATCAAAAACCCTAACATCTTCTTCTTCTTCTTTTTCTTCCTTTTGTTTTCCTCTAGCTTTCTCTCTAGTTGTCCTCGTTTCTCTCAAGGGGATTAGATAAATTAAAATATTTTTTAAAAAAGTAACCAAATTGTCAGACTTTTTGTAATGGAAAAATACAAAATCTTTAGTGGTAAGTAAGATTTATAAAACTTAACTCCGTCTGACTCGGTTTCTAAAACCAGAAGAAAAGTGAACCGTCCATAATTTCAAAAGATGGGAGAATAGACGGCTAAGATGAGAGAATAAGATGTGGTGGAGTATGGAATCAAATCCCGTAGCTTATGTTATACGGTTTGCATTGAATGGGACTCTCAAATTTCATCAGATCCTAAATTCATAAGCAACGTTTTGTTACCTTTTTGTATCATTTTCGTTACAAAAGATTCTCTTTTAATTTCTTTACGTAATGTATTTTCTTTTTCCTTCTAGGATCCTGTCAGTGTATAGTTTTCTGAATCTGATTAATGTATTTCGTATGAGTATGCGGTTTTCGGGGCGGTGGAGTGTGTCCACAATCTGCACTTCTCGAATACCATTTTTGAGATTTCTTTGGAAAGCCTTTATGATGCATTCACAAGACCAGATGATTACCTTAGTCTCAGCCATATTCGTCACACTATCATCTTTCTTCTTGTCAAGATGGGTTCATAGAGTTTAGATCTTGCACTCTCAGAACGTAATGAAGCTGCTAATACTATTGTTATAAGTGTTACTCGTGACCACTGTCACCTGTCATATATCGCCTGTAATGCGATCTTTTTTCCTTTCTTTTAATGTCTAGTGACATCTTTCTTATCTCTTATGTATATCACCTTGTATTGTTTTATCATGTATTGCTTCGACTATTCACCAGTGTTATAAAAAAAACATGTACTGTATTAGAATTTGTATTCAAAATATTTTGTGTAGGTAGAACCGGTCCTAAGATTTAGAAGAAGCTAAATAACTTATGAAAAAATTGAATTAAAAGATTATATAAATTTGGAAGTTTAATAAAAAACATTTGAGATATTTATGTAATTTTTTCAAAAAATTTAGAAGCCTAAACCGAATGCTTCGTTAGACTTAGCTCACGATCGGTCTTGTGTGCAGGAGTAAAGGATGCATAAAAAAATATAAGCTTAATAATCCTCAATACACTGAATTTAAATGATGCAGGCTTTAACATACTAATCTCACTTCAGACCAAACTGTTAGAAGCCTTGTACATAAAATGCATTATAGGTTCCTTTTTTTTTATAACTTGTTTCCTTTAAACGAAAGCATCCACACACAATGATAACTTGTAGCCTTTGACAAGTAATGGGACGAAGGTCTTGCTCAACTAAGGAAACACCACACAGACACAGCATGACCGCTACAGCACATGGAAAAATTATGAAAGCATGTTAATAACCTTGTCGAAATGCAACCATGATAGACTGCAAAGTAAATGGCTATAAACAAATGTGAAATGCTATTATGAAAAGAACACATCTCTTATTATTTATATACACAAGCCGTGCAAGACTGCAGGAGAATTGAAGAGGCAAGTTACTTGTATGTGAAAAGACTAAAAGCAGATATTAGTGACACAACATAAGGATAGACTGTAATAACTTGTGCATCCAGAGAGAAACTATCACCTTGGTGGTTAAGGTGGAGATGATTCTTCCAAGGATACACAACCAATGACAGGTCCACAGGCTTGAATGCACATAGGTTTGGTCTCTCTCCAGATCAGAGGCCTATCTAAAAGATTACATACTTTGGCGACAGACAATCTCACAAGGTCACATCTCCCTTCATCTAATCCTTCCAGACTAAGAACCAGACCTCCTATAACATAAAGCTCATCCCTTAGAGCTTCAAACCTGTATCCTATAAGCGGCGCCTCTCCCGGATGACCAGGAAGAACCACACCAGGAACTAAGCCAACCTCATACCATTCTCCTCCATCTGTACCCCTAGTCTTGATCAAACGTCCTCCCACAACCGTGTACAGACGATCCTTTTTCATCCCCTGAGCAACATACTTCCTAGGTCTAACAGCAGGCCATATATCAACCACAGTGGACCAACTCATCTCTACTGGATTAAAGACTTGAGAAGAAACTTGCCCCAAAATTCCCATCTGATCACTCAGCACATGAAAGAACCCTTTGTATGATATCCCGAACCCCGAAGAGTTACCTTGTGGTCTAGGCATTGCTGGTAACTCCTCCCACCTGGCATTATTACTACTATGTTAGACCCTAGTCTCTACTTTAAAGATGTAATACAAAGGTAAAAAAGAGTATATAACCTATCAGCCACAGGATCATAAACCTCAGCAGATGAAATTCCCATAGGTTGTGATAATAATACACTATTACCTCCAGCAACATAAACCTTGCCAGAGACAACACCACAAGCAAAGAAAGCTCTCTTTGTTCTCATACTAGCAACCTTTTTCCACTCTTTCTTAAACAGATCAAACCGCATGACGTCATTAGTGACAACAGTCTTCTCATGACGGGATGATGACTTGTAGCAACCCCCGATCACAAAAAGACAACTCGAAACACAAACACACTCAAAACCAGAATGTTCCCAGCCATCTTGAAAAACAGATATATTATTTATAGGCAATGGATGCCAACGATCAGCTTCAGGGTCATAAGCAACCCATTGGTTCTTATAGCCTTCTGTGAGAACAAACAACCAGTTCCCTGACCATCCGTTTCTAGCTTTATAGCACGAGTAATCGTCACTACGAACTAAATCTCTCCATTTTTTAGAGACGCACTCGAGCGTTCCATGATAGCCGTGAGAAAGCATGGCTAGGCATCTCAAAGATGAGTCATCAGGCAAACCTGGGATGATAGATTGTTCTTCTTCTATGTTCTCCCTGAAAATATATATAGACGCTTTGTTAAAAAGATCGCATCTTTCAACCGTGGATAAAGGTAAAAAGATGTAACTTTAACAATGTTGAAGACTAATTAGAGAAAGAGCTAAGCTTACATGATTTGAGAGTTGAGACTAGTGTATATTGCGATCGATTCTCATGCTTTAGAAAACCAACGGTTACCACTTAAGACCTAGAGACAGAGAAAGAAGACAAGCATAATCGTTTCACACTATTTGGTCCTTCAGTTATATATTCTTAGAACACCGACGGTTACCACTTGAGAGTTAAGACCTAAAGACAGAGAATGAAGACTTGGTCCTTCGGTTATATATTCTTTCTGTTTTCATTCACTTTAAGTTAACTAACGTAAATAGTTATTAAACCCAGCGTTTCAATTAGGATGGACAAAAAACCGTATTGAACCGAATTAAACTGAACCAACCAAACCAAACCGATCAAAACCAAACCAAAATCTAATTTCAAATAGTTTGATTTAAGATTTTTCCAATCTAACCTGACCAACTGAACCAAAACCGATCCAAACCGTATTAAACCAAACCGGAAAAACCAATGTATTTTTATTATTTAAATTAAGCATACTAATGATATATAATAAACTAAGATCCTAATACTAAAGTCACTATTAAATTTATTAACGATGTTAGGTTTTTAAATTTTTTTATTCATTCTAGTTAACTTTAGTTGATTGTGTTATTATTATTTTTTGGTAGAGTTTTAAGATTTTTGATTCAGTTTTTATATGATTTAGTTTACAGTTTATTTTTAAGAGGCATTGTTAACAATATTTTTTTAATTTTTAATTTATATTATTTTAATTTGATTATGGTTTTATTGATTTTTTTTGTTTTTATAAATATTTTTGTTTCATTTTTAAGTTAGATTTTATTTAAGTAGTTTATTTATTCATAATCACCAACATAATAATTTTATGATCATACATTTATGTTTAAAAAAATAATTTATGTTTAAAGCATTAAATTAAGGGAACCAGATTAATCTGAACAAAAACACAAATTGAACTGAAAAACCGAACTAAAATCTTTCTAAACCAAATTAATTAGGATTTATTTCAGTTTCAGTTGGAAAATTTTTAAAACAGACTTAACCAAACCGAACCGAACTCAAACCAAACTGATAAGATAACCGAAGTGCCCACCCCTGCTTAAGCTCAGCTTGTAAAGGTCTCTTCTTTCTTTCTATAGGTTGATCTCGTTTTCCTCCAATTCACGGTGGTTCTTACACGACACGATCTCTTTAATTTCACTTCCTCTTGTAAGCTATTTGGTTTCTCTTTGTTTTGTGTATCAGGTGAAAAATGGCGTCTTCATCGGATTCATGGATGAGAGAATACAACGAAGCTTTAAAACTCGCTGAAGACATAAACGGAATGATATCCGAAAGGAGTAAGTTTTCCTTAACAGGTCCTGATGCTCAACGTCGTGCTTCAGCTATAAGAAGAAAGATCACAATTTTCGGAACACGTTTAGAGAGTCTTCAGTCTCTTCTCGCCAAAATCCATGGAAAGCCTATGTATAAAGCTCTAAACTTTTTTTTATCACTTCAAAAACTCAAAAAGTGTTGATCTTTTTTTGACACGTTTCAAAATCCATGTAAAGCTTTAAACTTTTAACGCTTTTCAAACTCAGAGTGTTGGTCTTTGACATGTGAATGGATTATCTCAACGTTTACAGTTCAGAGAAGGAGATGAACAGGCGTAAGGATATGATTGGGAATTTGAGATCACAGGCGAATCAGATGGCTAATGCTTTGAACATGTCGAATTTTGGTAATAGAGATAGCTTGCTTGGGTCTGAGATAAAGGGAGATGATACTATGAGTAGAGTTGGTAGTATGGATAACCAAGGGATTGTTGGGTTTCAACGACAAGTTATGAGAGGTGAGGTGTTTATAGTAGTTTGTTTGGCTTTGTTCTGTAATGAGTTTGTTTGTTTTTGTTTGGTGAGTTAGAACAAGATGAAGGACTTGAGCAGTTGGAGGAAACAGTTATGAGTACTAAACACATTGCTTTAGCTGTCAATGAGGAGCTTGGTTTGCAGACAAGGCTTATTGTATGTCATTGTTTTTTTGACTTATCTTGATTTGGGTTTCATTGTTGTAACAAAGCTGGGGATTGTATGCAGGATGACTTAGATTACCATGTGGATGTTACTGACTCTCGCTTACGGGTAATATATTCTTCATTTCTTAAATGTTGTAAGAATTTATTTTGGTAATTCATAACCTTTAGTATAGGCATTGATCTATTATGTTTGTTGTTTTTTTATTACAGAGAGTGCAAAAGAATCTTGCTGTCATGAACAAGAACATGAGAAGTGGTTGTTCTTGCATGTCGATGCTCTTGTCAATGCTCGGGATTGTTGGTCTTGCTGTTGTAATATGGCTTCTCGTTAAGTATTTGTAATCCCGACGTCAGAGAACCTATAAGTTTCTATCTAGTTCAATTGCCGCCTTTGTGTGAATGGTCTCAGTATATCTACTGATTCCACATTTGTGATTTTCATTCCTCTTCTGTTTTGAGAACCTTAATAAGTATATATTATCTGTTCAGTTTTCACTGTTGTTTTCATCATAAATATCAAAGACCTTGTAGCAAGTAAAACGTGTAAAAGACATCTTCCACGAAAAAACTTTGTCTAGGTTCGTTATATGAAACAATGAACAGTCTGTGACAATTGTTAACACTGATTTTTATGTCATCATTGGAAAGACAACCAATCATGAAATGAAAATCAGTGATTGTTTGTTTGTTTGGTCACTTTGCTGACTCACAACCATTTCTTCCAGCTACCTGATCTTAGCTCACCAGAGAAGAACCTAGGGATGCTCAAGAGACTGTTGACTCTAGTCAAGCCTTCCAACGCCGACCACTCTTCATCATCCTTGACAGATATACATTCAGCAAGTGTAATCTTCTTGGACTCATTCCTGCAACTCGCAGACGTTTTTTCTTCCTTAATCTCCAAAACCGGTACAATCTCATCGATCTCTGTTAAAGCCTCTTCTTTCTTCTCACCATCTTTGCTTGATATGATGGTGACACTCTCTTTAGACACTTTGCGTGAATGATTAACAGTTTCTGGAACTTCCACGGCAGAGGAATCTTCAAGAAAGAGACATACTACAGCGCAGTCATCGTTCTTGGAAGTGGGATACTTGAGTCTCCAAGCTCGAACAGCTGTGCATACTAAAGCACGTGCTGCAGTGTTTCGACTAGGAGCTGAAGCCACAATATCAACAGCTTCTTTGTTCGATAAAACATCCCAGACCTAGCACAAACAGATTTAGCTACATAGGTTTGAAACCACAAGAAGAAGAATAAGAAGAAGAATGTACCCCATCAGTGGCTAGAATAATGAACTGATCTCTCTCAGTGAGGCGGTGGTAGTTGATATCAGGAACAGAGATTAGACCGTAATCTTTAAGACAGAAGTCTCCAAAAGCTCGAGCCATTGCTAGACCAGGTGAATCACTGTTTGGTAACCACACACGTGCAACCTCAGGCTCATCTTGTAAGGCAAACACTCTACCTTTACATTTCTGGATTCTTGCTGATTCACCTGACATACATAGAGAAGAAAGTTAAGTCCATGCTTCCAAGATGATTAACAGTGACAGCATAAGGGACGAGAGATATATACTTGGTAAATCAGGTTTTAAGTCTATGGTTAATTGTACAGCGATGAGAGCATTGTCATCGTCTCTTGTTGCAAGAACAGCCCTTGAGTCACCAATATTTCCCACCACCAGATCCTTACCCTATAACCAAGAGAAGTTAATCTACAGAGTCAATGAGAGTATAAGTAACCGGTGACCAGACTTTCACCTGTTTGATCACGGTAACAGAAGTTGTTCCACTGCAGAAACAATTTATGGTTGGATGCATTTTTAACTCTTTATCCATCTGTTTACAAGTCTTGAGCAAGGCCCGTTTCAGTGGGAGATACATTTCTGGAAGTGGTAGCTTGTTGTCTTTCTCACTTGGCTTAAACTCACACAACTGCTCTTCATCTATGCAAGTAGTAGGCTCAAGGACGCTCGTGGAGTCCATCCCTGAAGTCTTTTTCAATTGGTTTGATAAAGTGAAAGGTAACATGTCTCGGACTCTCTTTGCTACCATATGACCAAACGGACCATGTCCATCGAATACACCACATAACACTGTATCCCTTCTCGAACAGAAATTCTGAAAATGAGAAAAAAAAGAGTTTCAAGGAGTAACTAAGGTTGCTTCAAAACAACAAAGAACATCACAAAAAGAACATAAAAAGCAACAACAAGAGTACTTATAACAAAATAGTGAAACAAAAACCCTAAAAGGTGAAACTTTTTTCCTAAAAAAGAAGAGACACAAACCTCCCAGACAAGCATGGCGTCTTGGTTAGTTCCTTTGCTGCCTTGTTGTGTATAAAGACAAGCAAGTTCACTTGAACCATTACCAACAAGCCGACCCAACAACTGCTCAGCCTCATTGATTTCGCCGCCGCTAACTAAAACTTTCTCCCTCCGTATCCCCCCGGAGCCTTGTCTCTCCACCTTGGTATTGGCGGCGCTTGTTGTCTCAGTTTCATTCCTAGTGGTCTTATTAATTCTCGAACTACACAGACCCATTTGAAAAGAGAACAAGAACCAGGACAGGAAAATCCACAATCGAGAGTTAAAGAATCTACTAAAGACCTGTTTTTTTGTTGTCTGAAGTTAAAAGAGTCACAACTTCCTCCAGTACAAGAGAGAACGAGAGAGAGAGAAGACACAGAGACGCCAAAGTCTCGTAAACTGTTTTGACGATTCTCTGTTGTTAAAGAGAGGCCAAAAAAACTTGAACAGAGACCAGAGCACGAAGTTTTACTAACTCCACTTCCGTAAGACTATTCAATAAAGCATAAAGGTAATGTTTTTTTTATTCGACAAAGGAATTGAGTGAGTGAGGGTGAAAGTGAAACAATCAGACAGCGTTCATAGCTTAGTTCTGCAGCACTACCACGCGGTGCACGTGAGTTCATTTATTTTTTTTAAGTTTTGAAATTCATTTTTAACTGTTATATAATAACAGCAAAAACTAGAATAATCAATTAAAATTTGACACGCGTCCTTTTGTCCTCCGAGTCTAGTGATTTTTTATCAAATATCAATGATTTAACAGTTCATAACGTCCCATACCTCTAGTTTGATAACAGAGGCGAATTGATTAACAATATTTTTCTCTTTTTCTTTGTCCCCAAGAGTGTAGTTTAACTGTTCCGACCAAAAAAAAAAGAGTGTAGTTTAACTGTTTAACTAGAGTGTACTAACACACATCTACTATAACAAAGACAAACGAGAATCGCGTAAACACACAAACATGGAAAAGCAATTTTTTTCTTTGATAAATATGACGATGTAAGAATAAGATATGATCATCTGAGATTCTGAGTAGAGTTAAAATGAACTGTTCAGTTGAAAGATAGGACTAGGAATAAAACTTTTTTTTTCATTCTTGTCATCTGTTGTGGGAACTCAGTCTTCAAAATCTGCTGAATTCTCTAGCAGATAGTTTGCAGCCAATTCCTCGTTACGGTCACACGCAATGAATGCTTCTAACACTAATGCTCTATCAAACCCCATTGCCTCAAGCTGATCAACAAAAACGAGGTTTTACGGCAAAGAGTTAGAAGACATGAGAAAAAAATGATGTTTCGGATTGTTATAATGGTAATAAGGACTGTATGTACCCGTTGAATCGCTTCTTGCTCTGCAGGGGTAACGTTAACTGCATGGGGCATCTCTTGCTCGGCTTGGTCGAAAACATCCATTTCCCTGACAATTTTGCACATTCTATTAGTCATGGGATCACATATAGACGTGGTTCCTTTAATCATCCACAGATTTGGCGATTCACCCAGTGGCCAAACCAAGAAAACGAACTGCAGACTATATTATAATACTCACCCGTCAGATCCTTCATCAGGCTCGTTGAGTAACTGAACAAATTCGGCTTGGTTCTCTTGAATTAGCCTCAGAAGTTGTGGGTTCTGCTTTCCCAGCTCTTGAAGCATAGGCTGTAACAGAAGCAACGATGAGATGTTCAGAAACAATAAAAAAAGGTCAGGATATTAATCTGCGGACCCAAAAGCATTATACAGAGGTAAAGGCTGACTTACTTGCAGAATCTGGGGGTTGGAACTGACCATGGATCGTAATTGTTGGAACTAAAACAAATGGAAATGTGACAATATTAGTGTATGAGGACTCGAATGATTAGCAATATTTTAGAGGAATAGTCGCGGATACACGTCCCTGAAGGTGATGAAACAGGCTTCTAACAAATCTAGCTACCAAGTTCCAAATTCATTTTACTTGATCTAACAAATGAAAAGAAGGAATACAACGACAACCTGATCATTGCTTCTGAGGAAGTCAAGCGTCCCAAGTTCCCCTGCACCAGCATCAGACACTGCTTCCTGGGAAAATAACAAACCCGTAAGGGAACTCAATTCTAACAAACTCTTTTTCGATGCACAGACATACCAAGCTCTTACCTGGGGAAACAAATCCAACGGAGATGCATTAGGTCCTCCAGAGGCAGGAGGAGCGGTATGTTCTGCACCAGATCCTACTCCCGATATGTTAGTTAGCGGAACAGCTTCGCTTTCAGGAATTCCCTGAGAATAAAACCAAATTTCAGAAGTTTCATCCCCCTTAAAACATTTAAAGAACACTGTTACAGAGAAGTGGGGGCATACAGAATATAGATAATCCACTGCTCTCTCAGGGTTGTAATACGCTGCACGAAGTGCACGAAGAACTGTTTCTTCGTCCCAGCTGCCTCCTCCCATTTCCATTATTTGTTGAACCCTTTGCTCTACACTACTGCCACTAACTAAAGTTGACGGATTCTGACCATCGGTGTCACTTTGTGCCCTGTACATACAATAAAAGTATATATTCAATTAACTTATGTTAAAGAAGACAATATTATGCAATAATAAAACTTACGCCGGTTGTTCTTGGGCAAGAGTGGCACTTGCAGCTGGCACAGCTATAGCTTGGGTTGTCGACGGAGCTGCAGGCTGGTTAATTTGTACAAAATTGTATTAAATGAACCTAGTAATCCAAATGGTGGTGACTGAAGAAACAAGAACATATACGCAAGAAAATTACCGTAGTTGAAAATGTGGTTGTGGACGTAGTCTGTGACAGGGAATAAAGTTTTCACTGAGAACAATGGACTGATAAAGCGATGTCCAACATGAGAAGAAGAAACGCTTACCTGAGTAGAAGATGTACCAGCAGAACTTGCAGTTTTGCTCTATCAATAGCAAAAGATAAAGGTAAAGACATAAGTACAATATGTAATTTTCAGTAACGAGGAAAGAAAATTTTAAACCTATTACTCGTTCAAGCTTCATCTGTTGTTATCCTCTAAACAGAATACAACAGATTTGAAGAACCAAGATAAACCAAGACTACAGTAACTTGACATAAGTTTATCTTTTAAGTTTGTCTCATAGTAAACATATAGGTACCTTGCTAAGCATGACAACAAGAAACCCCTCTTCGGTGACATTATTCTCCACCAAAGTTGTTTCATCTTTCAAAACCTTCCCATTGTGAATCAACAGTTGCTGTCCACATGGATAGCTGTCTTTGCTCTGTGAATCTTCAATACTCTTCTTCACCGCCATTATCTACAACAACAACACATACATAACAACACACTCCACTCAACAAAAGACAAAAAAAAAACTAATCGAGAAACTAGAAATCCTGAATCAAGCAATCCATCAAAAGTCGTATACACAAATAAATTGGTATCTCAATTTAAAAGGTTAACTGACCGTATCGGTGGGCAGAACCCTAATTTCGAAACGGCTACCCTTGAGAGTCTTAACGGTGAGCTTCATGTCGAAGAATTGAACCGATACGATTGTACCGGCGGCGTATTGGGGGAGTCCGGCGAGAGATAGAGAATTTGACCTAAAAAGGAGCGATGGTTTCAAAACAACTATTCAGCAGTCGCAATCAACACGAGCGTTTCGGATTTTAAAACGCGCCAAGAGCAACCCCCCACGTGCGGTTCGCTGCAAGACACCGTACAAATCCTTGTGCATCGCACGTGACACACGGACCTAACATACATTTATATCTCTCCCGTATTTTCCATTTTTCATTTTAAACAATTTTCCACATATATGAAATTAAAATATTTACTTTGAAGCAATGTTCTAAAATTGTTCACAATATTTTTAAAAATATTAATTTATTTGGATAAAGTCGAATCATTTAAAACATTTTAAAGCGAATTGAATTATTGTAAATCGGTTTTAATCATTTTAAATCAATTAGAATGAATAACATCAAATTCGATTATGAGTAACAAATTTAATTATATTTTTTTCACCATTAATTTGTTTATAGAAAAATATGTATTATTTAATTTCTCTCTAATTTGTACTTTTATTATATCTAACTTTTTAGTATTTCATCAAAATAATTTTCTAATTACAAATAAAACTATAAAATATATTATTTATATGAATATGTGATACAGCTATAAAATATATAATAAATAAACAAATAATTTCTTAATGCATGAACCCCGCCTTGGCCTCTAATAGCATGTCTATGCGCTAGTTTTCCACCGAGCATCTAACTGACGCCAAGCAATTTTTTCAACATTACTTTGTACTCATCATATTGAGCGACAACTAAAAGTGGAAATGAAACTTGTTTTGCCAACATTGTGGTATTGGAAATGAAACTCCAATCATGTTTACATGCGTAGTGGCTAGACTAGTATGAGCCCTTTAAATTTCCTGGCTTCAGAGAATGGGTTTTATTCTGATTCTATCTTTGTGAACATGACTGCCTGATTCAAATGAGCAAATACTTCAAGATTCCACTTGAGGTGCGAAGATGTTATCCGTGGGTGCTTTGGTTATTTGGAAAAATATACGAATAAATGTATGTTTGGAGGACGTATGAAACTGGTTGTGGATATTGTTGATAAGGTCAATGATGAAGTTCTGTTTGGTTCTTTACCCAACAGCTTGACAGAGAAAAGGAAAAAGGGAAGGATGTATGGAAAAGGAACAAATGAGATATCAAACAAATTAAAGTTCCCTGATAAATGGGTAACATGTAACTTTGGGTTGTTTGGTCCAAGAGATCCTTGGTAACAGGAGTCTCTTGGTTAGTGAAAGACCAGGAATGATAGACTATTATACATAGTAGAATATCTTTCGCTAGTATTTTGAATTTACAGGATCCAAAGTTTAAAACTCTTATTATGGACAAAAGTCTCACATCGGCTTGGAAGGGATCTTTAGTAGCTTTCAAGTTAGAAACTCATCTAATTTAATATGGTATCAGAGCCTACGATCCACGTAATCCAACCCGATCCATTATCGATCCGTGTCCAAAGTTGGCCCATCGATCATTGCCCAAACATTCCGAGATTAACTCTCAAAGAGCCATCATCTCGAGTGGGTGTATCAGGGATAAAAGTTCCACATCCGTTGTTAAAAGAGATCCTTAATAGTATATATAAGATATATGAGTCATTCCACTCCATTTACCACCGATTGGTTTTAGGTTGAAAGTCTATATAACTTAATAGCTCTTTCTTGGACTTTGGAGAGCATGATCTTTCATCGTTTTGATAATGTGATATTTGCAGGAGAGGATGCATTTCTTAAAGTTATAAAATGTTCTTGGGCATGGTCATCGTTCAGACAAGAATTCTAATCCTACATGTCTTTTTGGAAAATTTACAAAGTAGAAAAACAAGATTGAACTATGAAACACAAATATATGTGTTTTTTTCAAGGCTAGTTAGTAGTGCTACTTTACCTTAGTGCCGACACCGTGATAGTCCTATGTAGCCAGAGATTTCTCTCAATGGTTAGATATAATGGTAGCTGGTGAGAAAAGGTGAACATCTGTTTTGGTTGTAATCCGATTCCTAGGATATATGATTCATCTTGTGGTATCTTTTATTTGGTATGCACATTATGGACAAACTTCTGGGGCAGACATGGAATGTCTGTAATGGTTTATCTTCTTCATGTGGTTGTATTAATGTTGACTGTGGCCTGTGGGTGAAGATTTGGTTTATCTTCTTCATGTGGCCCTTATATATACTTTTTGAGGAAAAAAGGAAGAAGATATGTGTCTTTTTATGCCATGTTCCATCGGTTGTCTACCCTTTTTATTTAATCTTCTAATAATTGTGCCTACGAATACAAAAAATCAGATGCAACGACCAACCAGACAAGATGAAGTCTTTTTTTTTGTGCAACGACCAGATGAAGTCTATACCATGTAAGTCACATTAACAAAAATATCGTTCTTTTCTATATACTTTTAAGTTTAATAATAATATATACGTTCCGGTCGGTAATAAATTATAAATTATGATTGGATCTTCAAAAATTCTCATTAACATGTTTCCTTCTAAGTCAATGCACTTAAATCCAAGCTTCGTAGAGCAGATATTTTCTTTTAATAAATATAATAAACAACGAATGTTGATGACTCCTTCCAGAGTTGAAAAGCTAATTAAGCGTCTCCACAATAAACATTAATCATCTCGTCTAGTGAAAGATCTATCGCTTTTCGATGGACCGTAAAATCTTGCCACCACAACATCAAGTTTTCATCAACTTCCGTGGAGATGAGCTACGCAAGAACTTCATTAGCCATCTCGTGGAGGCTCTTCAAAGGAATGAGATAAATGTCTTTACAGACAAGAAGGAGCAAAAAGGTGAAAATATAAGCAATCTTTTCAAGAGGATCGAAGAGTCCAAGATCGCGGTAGCCGTGTTCTCAAAAAGGTATACGGAATCAAAATGGTGTTTGGATGAGCTTGTGAAGATGAAAGAATGTGCAGATCTTGGTAACCTCAAGGTATGATCTATGTTTTTTTTTTTTGTCGTCAAAGGGGTACTTTGTTTTTTTTTCTAGCTAGACCAATGCTGTATCTTGTTAATTAGCAGTGTAGATCTGCATATTAACGGTATTACTTATACTAACTATGAGAATGCATATATGTAATCTCTATCACAAAGGTTTTTCCAGTCTTCTACAATGTTACTACAGATGACGTATTGACGTGAAACTCCGTGAGGGAGATTTTGGCATGCATTTTAGGTGTTTGAAGCGGAAGTATCGGCCTGAGCAACATATAGTCCATAAATGGAAAGAGGCGTTGACTTGTGTCTCCGGTAAGATTGGATTGACGTTCGATGATAAAAGGTATACTCATAGTCATAGCATTTAAATCTTTTATTTCACTACATTCTTTGTAATATCAATTTTGAAGTTGCAATTGAAATATGTAAGAAATCTCTACTAAAATTTGGGTAAAAATTGTGATGTTTTAGGGGCGTCAATATTATTGGAAAAGGCTTAACAATTTTTTTAATAGTTAATATCGTTATTTGTTCAAGTTAGTAAAAAGTTTAAACTGGTATCAGTGTAAGATTTATGGATTTTCATATTAAACAACAATATTTCATGAGTATATATAAGTTCATATAATAAAAAAAGTTTGCCTTATCAGAAATATGTATACACTTAATTCTTGTTTTTTTCTCTTATTTCGTCTGTTTTCTTGCTCATTTTGGTAGCTTAACAGAGAGCGAATTTATTGGAAATCTCGTCAAGGACATCTTGATATTGCTACAAGCCATTCCCTTGGAGCAAGCCGGAAATTGTCTTGTTAAAAAACTCCCAGTAAAAGGAGAAACTTCTGCAATGAAAACGGATTCTTCCATATCCTCCAAGGCTCAAAAAGGAAACGTAGAACGTCCACCTGAAGCTAAGACCAAAAGTTTCACTGGAAGCAACTCTTTAGCTCCTCGTGCAGCCATTGCCTCGGGACAGGGTCCAACCCCGACAGAAACAGGCCGTATCACACTTAAGATTCCCCGCGAGCCTTCAAAGAAATGCCACGACTTTGGATATGGGCCTCGTCCAACATCGTGAGAGAAGATCAGAAAACACTAGAGAGAGAAAATAGAGAGAAATAGCTTTGACGATGAATTTGTCTTAGGACGACGACTTCTTTGTGTTCTTTCTTTGTATTTCCATTCGACACTATGCTTACACTTTAATAAACGAAATTTTTGGTCCATTTTCACTTCCCGTAGTATTTAATTACTGTGTTCTAAACCTCCATTACCGGATTTATGATTCAACACTCAAATTTGACAAGAAGATTAAATAAAAAAATGGTAATGGTAGTAGTTGAATGTGGCCCTTATATATAATCTTTGAGAGAAAAAAAAATATAATCTTTGAGGGAAAAAAAAGACATGGTGATTGTTATTTGATATTTAGAGTTCGAGGGAGTCTTTTTCCATGTTCCATCCGCTGTATAGCCTTTTTTTTTGTAACAAGTCTAACTTTTTTAATTTAATCATCTAATAAATGCGCCTACGAATACAAAACCCCGATGCAACGAACCAACCAGACAAGATGAAGTCTATCCCATGTGAGCCACATTAACAAAATTAACGTTCTTTTCTTTATACTTTTAAGTCTATTGATATATATGTGTTTCCGGTCGGTAATATAAATTTATAAATTATGACTGGATCTTCAAATTTTCTCATTAACATGTTTCTTCGATAGTCAATGCGCTAAATGTCAACCTTCGTAAATACATCTTAGGGGTTTTATAAGCTTACACCTCCACAATAAAACATTAACCATCTTCTTTAGTTCTTTTATCTCGTCCAGGGAAATATCTATCACTTTTCAATGGACCGTAAGATCTTGCCTCCACAACGTCAAGTTTTCATCAATTTCCGTGGAGAAGAGCTGCGAAACAACTTCATGAGCCATCTCGTGGATGCCCTTCGAAGGAATGAGATAAATGTCTTTACAGACAAGAAAGAGCAAAAAGGTGAAAATATAAGTAATCTTTTCAAGAGGATCGAAGAGTCCAAGATCGCGGTAGCCGTGTTCTCAAAAAAGTATACGGAATCAACATGGTGTTTGGATGAGCTTGTGAAAATGAAAGAACGTGCAGATCTAAGTGAACTCAAGGTATGATCTATGTTTTTTTTTTGTTGCTAGCTAGACCAATGCCTGTATCTTGTTAGTAGTGTAGATCCGCATATTAACGGTATTACTTATACTAACTATGAGAATGCATATATGTAATCTCTATCACAAAGGTTTTCCCCGTCTTCTACAATGTTACTACATACGACGTGAAACGCCGTGAGGGAGATTTTGGCATGCATTTTAGGCATCTGGAGTGGGTGTATCGGTCTGAGCAACGTAGAGTCGATAAATGGAGAGAGGCGTTGTCTTGTGTCTCCGGTAAGATTGGGCTGACGTTCGATGATAAAAGGTATACTCGTATCATTGTAATTTTTTATTTCGGTACATTCTTTGAAATTTCTATTTTGAAGCTGCAATTAAAATATGTAAGAAGTCTCTCCTAAATTCTGGTGTAAAATGTGATGTTTTAGGGGAGTCAATATTGTATATTGGAAAAGGCTTGACAATTTTTTTTAATAGTTACTCCCCCGTTCTTAAAAGATGTATATTATTGAAAAAAAAATTGTTCTAAAAAGATATGTTTTTTTACATTTTCAATGAATGATTTAATAAAAAATTGTAAGTTTCAAAAAAATTAATGGTGTTTATTGAGTTTCTATTGGTTAAAAGTTATGGAAAATTGTTATTCACAAAAAACAATGCATTTACAATCAAAATTAAATGAGTTTTCTTAATATTTGTGAAAAATTTAGAACATGAATTATTTAGGAACAGAAGGAGTATCATTGTTCAAGTTAGTAAAAAGTAGGAGGTTAAATTGGTCCATACTAATAATGTATCTATGGATTTTCTTATTAAACAACTCTAAATGAGTATATATTAGTTCATAAGGAAAACAATTTGCCATCTATTACTATAAAGAAGAGTTTTTTCACTCCTCCTTTTGCCATGTCATCAATTAGTATCATCTACTGCTGACACGTGTACTTTTAACATGAGTTTTGTTTCGACTTTTTTTTATGTTAATGGGCTTCTCCGGAAAAAATAATGGACTCTTAAGACATTATATCGTCTTCCCCAGCGTGGAGACAGAAAATTAATTTTTTTTTTTTTTTTTTTTGAGACAAAAAATTAAGGTTTGTGTTCTCTTTCAATCTCTTAAGTTCTACACCAGCTATGGAGTTTTGCGTCATATCGACGTGAATAACCTCTGCGCCAAGCTTCAGTCACGTCGTTTCTCTCTTCTATTCTAATCATCCGAAGCGTTACAAGTTATTGATTAAACGCCTTTACAACCTTCTTAAATCCTTCCACGATTTCTGATTCATTGTATCCCCTTTATCCCAAACGGTGGATCTCGACCTATAAAAAGATAAGACCTCATCTAATCATCTTCACAATTCCAATAGCATTAATATTTTCTCAGTATAATAGCTAACTCCTCTGTTCTACCTGATGATCTGAAGTCTAACTGTTCTTCTTCCACCGTGGAGGTGTGGTTGCTCAGATTATTGGAAGTCAGGAACATCAAAAGTGGTGGTGAGTTTAAAGCTTCTTATAGTTATTCTGTTCTTAAAACACTTCTTAGTACTTCTTAGTACTTTAAAGTTTAAAGCTTCTTAAAGAAAATAGTTTGAGAGAACCAGGACTTTTGGAGAAGTGTATTCGAGGTTTAGGGTTATGAGAGTGGCTTGGGGTGTGAGCAACCATCAGTAACATACTCGGTTGCATTGAGACTAACAAGAAAGTGAAAAGCTACTGCAGATTTGAGACGCGAAGAGTTCAAGAAAATCTTTTTTGGGATGCAGAGATGACATATATTACCAAGGTTCCCTCATAAGGACATTGACGTCGAGGCTTTGCCTAAATCTGTTAACCGGAGAAAGAAAGGAGCCGTGCGCTATGTCAAGAACCAAGGCTCTTGCGGTTAGCTAAAATCTTGGACTCTGCTGTGTTATGGTTTTCATTTTTTTTTTGTTTTCTGAATTGTTATGCAAGAGGTTATTGAGTGTTTTCGACAGTTGCTACAGTGGAGGTATAAATAAGATTGTGACAGGAAGGTTAACAACATTTTCTGAACAAGAACGCATATACTGTGAGTTTTGTACACATTATAACAATGGCAGCAACGGTGGTCTCATGGATTATGCTTTGGAGTACATTGTCAAGAACAGAGGTTTTCGGAAGGAAGAAGATTATTCTTACTCCATGGAAGCAGGAACTTGCTAGACTCAGAAGGTTTTTGTGTAACTGCAAAAAAAAAAAGGATTTAAATTGTCATACTAATTCTTTTTGTTTTCAAACATGATGAATCTGAAATGGTGACTATCAGTGTAGTTATTGATGCTTCTGGTAGAGTTCCAGATCTTCTGGTGTAAGTACATTATTAAACCCATGATAAAAAAATAAGATTAATCTTCTTGATGCTTGAATTATTGTGTTTTGGTATATGAAGCGTATCTTTGATGGGACAGTGCGAGTCAATTTGGACCATGGTGTTGCTGCAGTTGGGTATGGATCAAGCAACATCAACGGTTCAGATTACATAATTGCGAAAAATTCTTGGGGATCAACATGGGGAGAGAAAGGTTACATCAGGATGAAGAGGATGGGAAACCAAAGGGTCTCTTATCTGCATTTGTCCATTATCTTCATAACAATCTGAATGTTGTCATGACATGTAATTTTAATGAATAGAAATGGTGTATGATTTTAACCAAAACAAATGTTGTATGATGAGAAATAATATGAAAAGATGATTGAAAAAAATAGAGAGCAGCATTAAACTGATTAAAAACAAAAGAAGACTAGATTGAACAGTTTTATAAGTAGAAAGTACATAAAAATAATAGAAGAAGAGTCTATTAAACAGTTTCTTGAGTTAGAAGTAACTGTAAAAAAAAATAAAAACAACAATATCAAAAGTGACTTCCTTTGTCTACAAAACTTGAACTGAATATAAGTTTTGGTATCTTAATTCTTGATCGTGCGTAAAGCAAAATGCTAGCCGGATTAGCAGGAGGAAGGTCTTGAAGAGTCTGAAACAAAGTAAGGTGTACATTAAAAAAAGAGGCTGGTATGGTCTTTACTCGATAGGACACGTATTTTTCTTCTGAATCTCATCTAACAACAACCAAATGGAAATAACAAACGGAGTTTAACTTATGCAACAATTAGAAAATACATATTACAAACATATAATTACGACGTCTACATCTTCAGTTGATTACTTTGTTCCAGTACTTAACCTTCTTCCAACTTAATCTTTAACAGTTTTGCTAGATAAATGTCTGATTTATTTCACTTGACCAAGTCCTCCGCAACTAAGTCATCACGTTCCAGAACAAAAAAAAAAGAAACCAATTATTTGATGTAATTAGCCACGATATTGTTGATCATATTTACTCTACGAATCCTCCCCAGCTTTTGATCAGTCCATAGTCATCACCTTCATTCCATTTCACACTTCCAACAACATTATTATTACAATTCTGGGGTTTTACTATTAAATAATGAAAATTTACTTCTACTAGAAGATGAAAAAAAAGCATGTTGGATTCTATAAGTAACAACCTGTTTATAAAATTCTCGAACTTGAATACTATTTGATAAACTATAGGAGTATAAAAGAAACTATAACATGTCACCGCTACAATATAGCGAACCGGTGCGACAACTGTTACTATCACTAGCAAATTACCAAAATTCTTTTCACCAAACCACCTTCTATTCTTCAAGACTTACACGATCAGTAATCCAACCTAAACAAACCTAAAAAAATGTATCTTTGGACGATGGAAAAATATGCAAACCCCATGAAAATCAAAACAATTACATAGACTAACATTCTTTGTTTTTCTTTTACCTAAAGCTAAACCAACCTTTTTGACCACGCAACTTCAAAAAAAAAAAAATACACAACTGCAACCCGCAAATACAGAATATATGTCCAACACAAACATCAGTTCTACGTAAATAAACTTAGAGACCACCTCTCAAGATAAATAACAAAAACCCCGCGCGAAGCGCGGGTATCCCCTAGTATACTTATATATTAAGGTCCCTCAGGGAGGTAAGTGGTTATATGAGTATATTATTTGGTTATCAGAATATATGTATACATATCTTTCTTGTAATTTTTCTTTGGTGGGATCTACATGAAGTCTCTCATTTCGTCTGTTTTCTTACTCGTTTTTTTGTAGCTCGTCAGAGAGCAAATTTATTGGAAATATCGTAAAGGAAATCTTGATATTGCTACAATCCATTCCCTCGGTGCAAGCCGGAAATTGTCTTGTTAAGAAACTTCCAGTAAAAGGAGAAACTTCTGCACTGAAAACGGATTCTTCCCATGCTCGAAAAAGAAACGTAGAGAGTCCACCTGAAGCTAAAATCAAAAGCTTCACTGGAAGCAACTCTTTAGCTCCCCATGAAGCCATTGCCTCGGGCTCGGGACATGGTCCAACCCCAACAGAAAAAAGCCGTATCACGTTTAAGCCTCGCCGCCCTCCATCCGAGAAACAGATTTTGTTTGACAAAAACATGAAGGAAAAATATGGTAATGGTAGTAGTTAATCTCATAATAATTTATGGTTTAATTTGCAAAACGGTCTTGTTATATCATTATGTTTTTTCTTTGCCATCTATCATTATGTTTAGACCATATAAAATAATTTAAATAAGTTTGCTTTTTTATGTTCAATTCTGTTAGAAAAGATATATGGTTCTTTATCTCTGTGTTATGTGAATATAAATATCTTGTGAACTGATAACACTAAATTTTGATGTAGTGTGAGGTAGAATGTGTGCGTTTCACTTTAATCACAGTTGTGAATATACATAGTAGCATGAACACATTCGTTATGACATATCTTCCTTTCTTATAAAGAACATATATCTATATTAAGAACAGCTTCATCGGTGGTTTTTCGCCTAAAAATCACATTCATTATGACATACCTTCCTTTCATATAAACAACATCTATCTATATTAAGAACAGCTCCATCGGTGGTTTCTCGCCTAAAAATCACATTCATTATGACATATCTTCCTTTCATCAGGGCCGTGCCTGACCTTTTCTAGGTTTAAAGCATAAAAAATTTTTTTGTCCCTTTAGTTATTTTAATATAAATTTTGTTAACCTAAAATAAGTGATAAAAACAAAAACAATACAGAAAATGGTAATAGGTTAATTTGAATTCGTTACCTCATGATCTATATAAGCGCACTGAACCACTGAACTAATGACAATTTTAGAATAGTTGGCCCCTAAATAATATTTATTCTAACGGGCCCCGAAGCAAATGCTTGATCTGCTTCTTATCGGGCACAGCCCTGCCTTTCATATAAACAACATCTATCTATGTTAACAGGGGCTCCATCCGCCTAGAATTTAAGGAAAAAAAAAGCATGAGAGCACCCCCATCAAGGGTTCAGATGGGGGGTTCACACGTTTTTCAAAAAAAAAAAATTATTAAAATAATGAACAGTAGTGAACCTGCCCCTTAAAAGTTCTCTGCAGTAAACCCGGTTCACTACTGTAGCGCGGGCCCCAGAACACGTGGCGGCCCGCGATTCGTCTATTTTTTTTTTTTTTTTTAAAAAAATCAAAAAGAAAATAGAAAAAAATTAATAATAAAATATTGAATCAATGAACCCCAAGAGGGGGTTCATTGATGTGGATGCTCTGAGAACGAAGATGTCACCAAAATAGTGTAAACATACACTATATAGCAAAAGTATTCGAGGTATATTCTTGTACATGTTCGTAAACGCCCTCAGGGTGCTGCAAGAGTCAGAATCGTATGGTAAACAACCATCTAATAGAACATGCCAATCATTATCTAATCCAAAACAACACATGCCCATCATCTTTTTAAAGACAAAAGAAGTGGAAGCTAAACAACGCATCATCATTCTCTCTCTCTCTCCCTTCCTTATTTATCTTTCTAAATTTTTTGTAAAATATAAAATCCCTAAATCCCCGTCGTATGTAAACGGACTTAACAAAACGGCGTCATCCGGCAAATCCGCCCCCCACGGAGGAGACTGATTTGATCTCTCTATCTCAATATCGGAAAACGCTGCCGAAGAATCAACGTCTAGCGACGGAGACGGCGTAGAAGCAGCTGCTTTTCTCCTTCTCCAGATCTCTAACCGATTCTCATCTCTTTTTGTTTCACCGGTTCGTTTTCTCCATCTACTTTTGGATCTGTTTATCGGCATTATATTCTGATTACGTATCATTCAAATTTATCGTCCATTTCCTCGAATCTCTATTCATCCAATGTGCATTGATCAATGGTTTCGACAGAACGAAACGTCGTCGTTTCCAAATTTAACAAATGACAGATCGAAACGTTGTTCTACGTATCTGATTTGCTGTTTATCATTGACATTAATGATATCTAACGGCAACATTATCGGTGTTCCTTCAGTGTTGTCCCTTAGCGAAAAATTCTTTTAACTTTTAAATAAAAACGCTAATGAATATCCGTCGAGGGACCACCGCTATGCCCTAATTTCCAAATTATTAGCGTACGATTAATAAAACATTTAATATGATTGGTTGTGCATTTGTGTGATTGACACTTGTCAAATTGCAGGTTTGTTGGATAGACCAAAGCCATGGTTCTTGATGGGATTGTATCTTCACCATTAAGGAGACACCATTCTCTGAAGAAGCAGTGGGAAGAGTTGGGTAGCTGCTCCACGGTTATCAACAGGCATCGTTATCTGTTAACCGCTTTGGTTCTTTTGACGTTTCTCTGTACTGTTTATATGTACTTTGCTGTCACTTTAGGCGCTAGGCACTCCTCCTCGTGCTATGGTTTGACCGGGAGAGAGAAGGCAATGTGTCAATTACAACACGTTCAAGCTATCTCTAAAGGGAAACTCAAATTCTTCTAGAGTTGTCATCTAGCCAAAGCTGGAAACGCAACTTTTACTGTTACTGATCTATAACATTAAATTTGTTTATTGATTGTATAATGCCATTTGTGTGTACTATTTCATTTACTGGGTGAAAAGCCAGAGGTTTATTATTGAAACATAAATCATTTTTGTTCATGATATTAATTTAAGAATTTAAAACTAAGAGTTTTTTACATTTTGTTCATATAAAACTTACATTATGTTATGATGATCGTCTTTGTTTTCGATAGGGACCTTTGAACGAAGCCTCTCCAGCTCAACTGAGACATCTGTCATGTTTGGCCTCTTCTTCCCTTTCCGGCTGAGAAACTTTTGGGGGAGTTTCGTCACTGCCATATCACTTGGTCCAGGTTGTTTTCGTCTTTGATCTGAACATCAATGATGTCAAGAACTCTGTTCTCTTTTAAGGTCTCTAGTAAATGAGTTGCCAAGCCTCTGCCTTCTTCAGAACGAACACGGGACACTGCCTTTTCTCCACCAGCACATTCCCTTATATACAGTACCTTGACTTACTTGTCCAAGCACTCTATCTACACTGAAGTTATTAGTACCTTTCTCCAACTCGTTCGAGCTGAATATCTGGTTTCTTAAAAGTTTATAATGCAATTTGTCTATATACATATTTATACTCAAAAGAAACATTATTTTTCATCAAATGTAGGAGTATACAATGCAGTGTTTGGGTCGTTTGTCACCATGTTCGTTGCAGAACAAGCGGGTGAACATCCGATGTTGGTGTTGCATTATCAAACAAGGAGGCTGGAGCAGTCATACCAACGTCCCAAGGCTCATCAATGTTGAAAGACATAACTTGATCCTCTTCGTCGTCATCGTCCTCAATCACTGAATCATATGGTGATGAATGTATCTTTTCCAGCTCAGCTGAAACCTCTCTCATGTTTGGCCTCTTCTTCCCTTTTCGGTTTAAACACCTTGTAGCGAGTTTTGCCACCAACATCACTTGGTCCAAGTTGCATTCATCTTTGATCCGATGATCAACTATGTCAGGAACTCTGTGCTCTTTCACAGCCTCCACAAAATGAGCTGCAAACCCCTTGTTATTTTCTTCAGACCGGACACGGGATGACGACGGTTTTTCTCCGGTTAAGAGCTCCACTAGGACAACCCCGAAACTGTATACATCACTCTTGTCCGTAAACTTGTTTGTTTGAAAGTATTCTGGATCAACATACCCAAAAGTACCTGCAACCTGGGTTGTCAAGTGAGTTTGGTCTTTTGTGACTGTTCTTGAAGTTCCAAAATCAGACACCTTAGCCTTATACTTCTCATCAAGTAGTATATTGGTAGTCTTGATATCTCTGTGGTATATGGGGAAAGATGCAGCTAAGTGCAAGTACGAAAGTGCTCCTGCAATCTCTATCGCAATATGAAGACGCACTTCCCATGTCATCTTGTAGTCATCAGATTCATCATGAAGAAGCTTGGAGAGATCCCCGTTTGGTACAAACTCATATACCAAGATGGGAACTTTGGTCTCCAGACAACATCCTAAGAGCTTCACAATGTTTCTGTGGTTGATCTGTGCCAGAACAGCAACCTCGTTGATGAACTCTTCTACTTTGTCTCCATCCACAACTTTAGACCTCTTCACAGCAACGATTCTCCCATCTACCAACATTCCTTTGTAGACAGTACCTTGACCTCCTTCCCCAAGAATCCTGTTCTTGTTAAATTTGTCTGTGGCCTTATCTAACTCTTGGGAGGTAAAAATCTTGGACATCTCTACGGTTCCTTCCTTTCTAGCTAACTGTTGTTTCAACAACAAACCTCCATTACGTCTGAAAAACATCTTGCTTTGGTAGATCCTCTTCTGGTTCTTGAGGAACATGGACAACTCACACACTCCCACGACGAAATGCGACAGTATCAAAACTATAGCAACTGCAACAACAAAATACACACATCAAGTACACTAACTTCTTTTTTTTGTTGTTGGTTCTGCATCATAGTCTCTGCTACTACTATGACTCACCTATAATCACCACGTCGAGCTGCTTAGGCTGAGGCTTACATTTGAATGAACCGCGTAAATTAACACAAGTTTGATCTTTACCACATTTCTTGCGTCCTTCCTTACATCTATCAATGACTACAAAATTTGATAGTATCACCTTTAGTATAACTTAACTGATTATCAGCCGATGATAAAAACTCACGTACCTATACATCCATCTTGATCATATGGGTTCCCTGGGTAATTGTAGTCACAAAAGCAGTCTGCGTAGCTGAACCCGGAGAAGTAACCGTATGAGCAGTAACAACTCGTATTATAAAAGGTACCACCGATGGCTGTCACATTTGGGCAACGTGAAAGACTCTCAACATGAGGTGCTGAAGAAGTATCGTAATGCCATCCTACCTCTACAGCAGCGTATCCATCAGCATGAGGCGATGAATACTTCTCGCTCGTCAAAAACGCAGTTCTGCATCCTCCTCCTCCTGTTGTGTTCTCTAGACTCACACCGGCTACTTGCGGCTGCCACTCAGGTATCCTCGTCTGGCAGATTCCGATGTTGTGTGTCTCGCAACCGATAATCTGCGGCTGGATATCAGTCATAACGGCTCTAGTGTTGTAACCAACCGCAACGAGGTGGTTTTTGTCTGTCAAGAAATAAGGGCTGCCTTGGCCGGAGATGTTCAGAGACTGTGATGTTGTGCCTGGTCCTTGACTGCTACGAGAACAACCAGAGGAACTCAAAGAGCCTTTAATGAGAATAACTCCATAGTCTTGTCCGGAAAGCAGCGAAAGAGAGATGTTCATCACTTCCTTGTTGATTCGTGAGAGGAATGGAACAGAGTTGTCAAAGACAATCTCGTACCACGAGTTGAGATAGCAGTGGTTCCCGCCAATACCGAACGGGAAAGGGATCTTTATGCCTCCGCAGACTCTCTTACAAAGATCTGGATGTGTTCTTGCTGATGAGCCGACAATGAAGAACAGAGATGTGACTATACATAAGAGGTAACGAGGGTTTGTGATCATCATGCTCTCTTATTTTGTTCTTCTCATATCAGTTTAGTCTTCTTTGTTTCTTCTTCTTGTTGTCTTCTTATGCTTTGTAATGAAAGTCTCTCTCAAAAGGGAGACGTGAGTTGACCGGAAACTAAGTAAGCTATGGATTCAATGGTTGCTTCATCCATGTCTTAATCAAATGGCTTAACCGATAAACGTGTTGATTCTTGACAAATATACTTTCTTTGGACTAAGAAGATGTCACATTGTTAGTTTTTGTCATCTATCATTCGACGTTCAAAATTAATTATAGAAAATTATATTCTTTTATAAAATATGAAACACGGTGTTTAATCGAAATTTCAGGTGCTAATGGGTATGGGCTAAGTTGGGTTTGGGTGCTAATGGGATAAACAGAGTAGTTTGTATGATGTAGTTTGTATGAACTATTTTTCTCATGGTGAAACTATAAACATACGAGTCATCACCATGTTCTTACTGGAACCAATGGGTTAACATCAGACATAGGGGATGCATTATTAAAGCATGGAGGCTGAAACAGCCATAGCACCATCCCAAGTCTCATCAATGCTAATTTCCATGGCGTCATCCTCAATATGAATCTCTGTATCATTAGGTGATGAACGAATCCTCTCTAGCTCAAACGCCACATCTCTCATGTTTGGTCGCTTGCTTCCTTTCCGACTTAAACAACTTCGAGCAAGTTTTGCAACCGCCACCACTTGCTCCAACTTGCTTTCATCATCTTTGATTCGATCATCAACGATCTCAACCACTCTGTTTTCTTTCATGACCTCTATGAAATGAGCCGCCAAGCCTATAACTTCTTCAGACCCGACACGGTGCAATGGTTTCTCTCCTGTAATGAGCTCCACCAACACAACTCCGAAACTGTACACATCACTCTTGTCACTGTATTGGCTTGACATGAAGTACTCTGGATCCATATACCCAAAAGTTCCTGCTACTAATGTCGTCAAGTGAGTTTGATCAACCGTTACCGATCTCGAAGTGATAGATTCGGGTTTATTATGGGCTTCCAACTTAAAACCAATTGGTGATTAGTGAATTGGCCATAACCCTTTATATAGTAGTAGATTAATTCTTATATTTCTGATGTGGGATGTTTCTCATCAATACCCTCCCTCACGCTCAGACATCTCTAGGTCTGAAGCGTGGACAACGTGGGAATAACATCCACGGAGGACCCAACATCGGTATAGTGGTAGTTGTAGTAAATTAGGCCAGTTAGATGGCAAATCACCCTACGAACTCCTATATGGCTCTCCCCCTAACTACGATACTCTTCGCGTTTTTGGCTGCCTCTGCTTTGCACAGCGACGACCTAGAGACAAGGACAAATTCGCACCAAGAAGTCGCAAGTGTTTATTTGTAGGTTATCCCTATGGCAAGAAGGCTTGGAATGTTTATGATCTAGAGACTGATGAGTTTTTTGTTAGTCGTGATGTAGTCTTCTTTGAAGATCAGTTCCCAGGTCTCTCTGCTTCGCAACAACAGCCATGTTCTTTGCCTCAACCAGAGTTCATTGATGATGATCTAGTCTTGTCGTCCTCTAATCTTACTCCTTCCTCTGATTCATTACACCCATCACCCGTATCTTCACCATCACTTTCCTCGGCTCCATCACCCACTACATTATCATCACCTGTTCCATCTTCTTCTTCCTCCCTTCCCGAAAC